TTTCTTGGCCTTGAAGCAGACGACCTGTCATGATTCTTGATAGCGTCATATGCCCGTCACTGAACACCCTTTTCATCATTTTACTTTACAAACTGTAAAAATTTCCATATTTAGGTTCGTATTCATAAGCAGTTGGTTGAGTATGTAGACTCAATAATTGGATGTTCATGTGCCTCAGGGGTTTGCAAATTCTCTCCAGCACGGGTTTAGCGCCGCGGAATTGTATTTTATTTCTATCTTATCAAAATTACTGCAAAGACTCCATTCTTGTGGCTTAGAAGAAAGAGAACCCTTCACTTAGTATTCATGACGCAGATGCATGTATGTCCCAAGACCAGTCGACGGAATCTCGTCAGTTATCCCCCTCAAGGAGGTTCTATAACCTTGATCCAAGTTGCCTCCTCCTCATCTAGGTATAGTATCAGCTACGTTAGAAAAGCCATTGGTCTAATTATCTTTCTAATAGTTATCTCAAACTAGAACAGTCTCTAGCATTCGACTTCGATACATTCGTGCGAATTAATTCGAAAAATACGTTATTCCAAAATAAAGGATCGAAAACTTTGTCAATATCTCGATCATATCCTAGCCATCCATACCTTTCCTACCTACAGATACATCCATAGAAATACGTCTCCCGATTTGATGATTTGCCGTACTTCAAGCTAAGCAATGCCTCGGGTATCAGAAAGGAGGTATCCGGAAGAGACGGACGAACAACATTGGGTGACTAAATTTTGACGTTCGAACGCGTAACGCAACCATAATATCTTTATATTCTCACCGCGTGGGGGTTTTTGTTTCCATCACAAGGAACATCTAACCATCCCCCAAAATGAATTGCTTTGAGGTATATTCCTCTCTGGAGTCTGCCTTAACGAACGACATATTTCCTCATATCTACTGTAATCTTCCTGTAGAATTACAATCACGCCAAGCGGCTACGGGAAAAATCTACGCGCGATATCTGACTGATATTTCTGTTAGCGGCATACGATTGTAGTCAAAAGCTTCGAAATAATATTTCCCTTCACGACATAGGTATGTTACCTACACCTACCTTAGTGTGGTAGACTAAATATCACGCAAACCGCGAGACTAGTGCCCACCTACGTCAGGCGATGCAACGCGACCATCCATACTCACGATACTCTGGTTCGGTATAGCAAGCGGAATCGCGTAATCGTTATGGGTCTTACCAATATTCTATTTACTGCATGCTAGTACGACTCCTTGGCTGTAACGAGCTAGAAGTACGTACAGTTGATGTTGTATTGGGCCAGGTTAGTGACAAGTCTAAAGTGTCTAGCGAAGGTGATCTAGATTAGTTTCCCAGCCAGTCCCAAACTATCGCACTTCTTCCATGCCGGCAGTCTTGGCATCCATAATCACTCTGGCGATGATATAGACCTGATATAGATTTCAACATCCCATCAACGCTTTCAGTTAACCCCAATGTGCGTAGTAGAAATATTTAAGGTACTAGTGGTGAAAAAACTTCAAGGTTGCTATAATGGTCTAGTACCTGGATACTAACCTCTTAAGAGTAAATGATAGTAGAATATACTATGGATTAATTCTGTGTCTATCGACAGGAGGTGAATCTATACTGAATAGCTTACTTGGAAAATATTGTATGCGCCGGACAAGGCAGCCCGTTCGGCACCTACGTACCTACCTTGGTAATCGACACTGATATCGTAGTTTGATGAAATTTCGGTAATCAGCGCAGCAGATTGATAATGGACACTGGCTTGCGAATAATTACTATAATATGTTGATGTTACTGAGTACTAACCATTAGTCAGGGGTAGCTTACGTAATACCAATATCCCCTGAATCGTCTCGATGAGGTTTATACAACCCCATGAGTTGATAATGCGAATTCATGGTGGAATATCATAGAGAAAACGTGGCCTTTGATCCTCTAGTCTTCCCTTATGAATTAAGTTGGATGTTGGGACTCTGTCGCCCCTAACGATTTCACAATAGTGCCAGGAGTCTGGTCTGGAGGAAGACTAGTAACTAGGGGTCTAGTAGGATTGGGACTTGGTCTATAGAGGTCTATTAGAGTCTATAGCGACCTGTTGACTGCTAGTTCTGAGAATAAAACAGATAGAGGACCTTATCTGTACCTATGTATACCGTGTTCTCCTTGGAGAGAGTGGTTCAGAGCTCCTCTCACAACAACGTCGTTGTTTCCATGTCCCTTTGGTTTCGCCTCGTGACAAGATACAATATTTTTGCGACGTCCAACGCACCTTTGATATACCAAGGACCCTATACTGAGATTGAATCAATTGTATTGGCGAGCTGACCTCCACGGCTGGCATTAGAGGTTTGAATGTCTCCCCGAAGCTGACGGTAAAGTAGCAAAGAAGCCGTTATCAGGTGGAATCCAGGAATTTAGCGATAGAGATAGATGTCCTGTTGTTGAAGGTGGTAGAACCTCTAAAATCGATTAAGGAGAGGCATAGCGAGAGTGTAGTGGAACACTTGTCCTGGGGTCAGCTTTCTTGGTAACCCCCCATCTAGGAAGACTACGTCCACTGGCTTAATTTCGGTAGGTGCACGAGACCGACGAAAGAATAACGGTCTTGATACTGGAAGACATGATAGGAGGGATGGTCGACGTTGCGGTTGGCACTCAATTAACATTCGCTGGTATAGCGAACTTAGATGTAGACATGAGCGTGTTAAGGGGGTTATCCGCTAGAGCCTCCTTGACGTCTCTTATATAATACAACGTGACGACAACTATAGGTACCTAGTGGAACCTAGGATGTCGTTTGTTGCTAGGTATCTGCGTATGTAATGTTCATATAATCTGAATGGATACGAGGTAAGGAGCCTGGGGGACGTTCGTATGCGTGAACATGTCGATTGATGTTGAAATCATCGCTCTATACGGCTCAATTATGGCAATATTGCAACCAAAAGGGGTATGCTCTTCGGTGTATCCCCGACTCGAATTTAATGCTGACAATATTTTCCCTTAGTTGACTTGTGCCGCGCCAGAGCCTCTGTGGCTGCTGAAAGCCATTTGCTAGTGATCTGGGTCGCCTACGGAGATTTGAAAATGGCCTGGAGCCGATGGCTTCCAGCCATATGTAATCAAGCCATGGCGTTCTTAAGTGTGATATATGTCTGTGTTCCTGATCTTCGACCATTCATGAAGAACATGGGACCTGAGGATGGGCTTTCCCGATCAAGACGAATGCCGCATTTCAACACATACTGTATGAATACAAGGTAGGTAGGTAATATTGGTGGCGTAGTTTGATGGCTTGGAGTGTCTCTAGGATTCTAGGTAGGTACCGGTAAGTGCGACAGTGGTTGTTCGTCTGATTTGTCGAAAAATGAGGGCTACCTGCAGCCTTCCACCTGCATTAGGCGCTTTTGACACCGGTGTGACCTTTGATGATATTCTACTTGGAGTTGTATAGACGATCGTGTTACACGAAGGAGTGGGGTCTGAAAAGAAAGTGTCAATCGGTAGCTCCCCAGTTGACTCACGCAGATCGAGCTCAGATGTCTCCGTTTTGTTGTTGGAAAATAAAGAGGTAGGCATTCAGGTGACCGTGATTCGTTCTTTCAACTTACCAGAAACTTCGCTTATTACCTACCTACCTACCGACCTACCTACATAGTAGGTAGTCATCATATCTGATCTTAAACCGAACTACCATCATGCCTCTAGAGCTTCAAGATGCCGATCCTATCTTACACGTCCCGGCACTTGCCCGTGCAATGTTTAAATCTTAGGTACGAAGAACTATGGCAACTATTCTTCCATGTATACTTCCTCATCCATAAGAAAGGGAGAGTAGTTCGTAAGACGGCTATCGAAGAAGCAGCTACACATCTAGAAGACTGGTACACTCACAGCCCTACTATGCACTGGCAGAAAATCGTAGGCACAGAGACTGGGGACATTGCTAGGTACCTACCCACCTCCCTAGGTACCTAGGTAGGTACTGGCGCACTCTTGACATGACTTCCCGATGATGACTCTCTCAGGTATGCTGAGTACCAGGTGGCATCCGGTAGGCGGTTACAAGGAGTTAAGCCCTAGGAGGAAAAGTAATAGGCGCCTCAAGCTGCACTGTAGGTACCTACCTATTACTTGCAGAAAATCGTGTCCTGTTCCAGACAAATGACCTAAAAGGAGGAATGAGTTAATTCTGTGGATTTCATCCCACCCTCTACTTAGTACTGCTTGCTCTGATCCGGAAAACTGCCCAGTGCTGATGATGAGATCTGGTATTCCATAACGCAAAGCATGATTCTTATAAAGGCGACGAAGTTGTAACCTTCTAGTTAGTAGTTGGGAATATCGCTAGTCTGAGTATCGCCGCCCCCCACTCATTGGGAATTCAGGGCGAGGTGCCTACACCTTAGCGCCGTTCTTGTCTTGCATTATGGCAAGTTGCATGTCCGTCCATCATTAATATGCTATGGCCGTCTTCCTCTTTCTGTTTCCTTCAGTCTTTTTTACTTTTTGCTGCAGCCATTGGCACCTCATCCCTGATACCCGGCAGCCCCATATGAAGCCCGTACGATAGGCGGCAAGCATCATTGGAACGCTTAAGGAAATTGCCAATTGGCGACCAGGGATAAGCCACCAAACCCACAAGAGAGAGTGGATCAGCGCGATCCCATTTATGATGAGTCGTGTTACAGAATTTGAACCCTCATAATTCATCTACTGATCTGCCTGTATTACGTATGCTCTTTAATACCTACCTGATACCAGCTCACAATACGGGCATCCATATGGGTACATTACCAATTAGGGGGATACGAACTTAGCACCCATCATTTAAACCTTTTGATGATATCTTTCGATTGTTTAGGCACGTATTGATCGATTTATATGAAGTTTAAGTTGAGAAATGGATACCTCTATTCTGAGGCGTAAAGCTGCCCCGGGAAATTAATAACTATATACAGTTAAAATAAAGGCACACGAAGATGTCGTGCTTGATATATACCAATGTCTAAGCTGTAAGACGGTAAAGGAGCGTTCCAAATCCCAGATCGTCATAGCCACCACTGTTACCGCCATAGTTACTACCGCCACCTTCGACCTTGTCGGTACTATTACCATTCACTTCATCTCGGTACAACTTAGTCCACGAAGCATCTAGACCTTTGACACCCGCATAGTGAGCATACAATAGCTCGAAACCAGGCCTGTGTGTGTAACGAGAATTTTCACTGATCACAGTCTGGTTTCCGAGGTAGCTGTTATACCATGTGTAGGGCACGTCGTGGCCTGTATTATATTTCGCTACGTACTCGGCCCTGTATATAATGTCAGCAATCATCCTCCGTAGAGTATAGGTACCTAGGTAATCATTGGGGGCAGGTAACAGGAACACCTACGCAGCTAGACCCGAGTTATCCATCTCAGCGAAGAGATCTTCTCCTTGGTTATATCCTTGCTGCATGATGACACCAAGCAACGCCAGATCTAAGGTTGCGTGGCCCTGATCTCGGCCTGCTTCCTGGCCTTGTGCCAGCCTCTTGCCGGTTCCTTCTTCAGTGAAATTCGCGTATATGAAGTTATTGATGGCACCTCTGCCATCTCCGTGCAGGAAGTAGTCCCGGCCCCAGTTGTACATGGTCTGATTATCGGTATACACACCAATGGCCATCATGGCGGCAAGGTTGCAGAAGTCCCAGTTTGCCCACTGAATTATTTCATGTTTAGTCATCGATCACCAACATCCAGTGATATAAGGGGTTTAGGAGAATTATTCGCCACGATTTCTAAAATAACCAAAAACGTTCTACTTACATAATGGTACTCATCTTGGCCGTTGTGTGTGGTGAGGAATCGATAGTTGAGGGGATAGAAGACATTCACGAGCATCGTCTTCAACTTGTCTTGGGATGTGGCGTTCCAGCCGCTGTAGTCGCGCATAAGCTCGGCGGCGTTGGCTATCTGGTAACCATATATCCCTGCTGCTAGGAACCCGTTACTATCACCGCCGATAGACTCCAGAGTTGTTGCCCATGCATTCAGGATATTGATAGAGGCGTTGGCGTAATCCTCAACCCCCTCGACGTGCCAGCGTATCGCAAGCTGGTATGCGGCATGCACATCTTTATAGAGGGTTGGATAGTTTTGAGCATGGGTGCCATCGGAACCGCGGTATATCACTTGTTGCGCGTTGGGCGTGTACGTCGACTGGGCAAGCGAATTGCTACTGAGCAACTTATATGTTGTATTCCAGGGCTCCTCGGCCTTGTTGACATACTCTTTGACTCTGGTTAGATCTTTCGTGGTATGTAACAAGCCAGGGTGAACAAATGCGACAGCCGAAGAGGCTAGGCAAGCCGATAATAGTACCTTCAACATAGTGAGACCCCAGGTTGAATCTCAAACGAATGACAGCAAGTTTAATGATACGATGCCTAGTAAGAACATTGTGGTGAAATGGCCGTGAGGGATGACCCGTTATATGTTGCCTATCTACTCATTCTCTTCATGCTTTGATCTATGGGTATGTTATTCGAGGGGTTTCTCCCCCTTGGAGGAGATGAATACCAGGTATGGAGGAGCTACGCGTATACATGGTAGATTTTGGGTCACTAAATGGACCCGCTAGCCCACTATCTCACGATTCGTGCTGCTACTGGCTTCCTTGAAGATATTTGAGGATCGCTCAGACCCAGGCTAATTGAGGGTTCTTGGTTCTTTTTCGTTGAACCAGGTAGCGTTGAAACAGCCTCTCATTGATGGATTGGCTTCTCCCGTGGGAAAAAAACGTTCGAGTGGTCCCTACGCTTATCCCTGACGGACCCGAAAATCCGGGGATCTTGCAAGGGATATGCTGCAGGTTACGACGACGTGATTTAATTATGTAAATTCTTAAGGATTAAGCTCTGACCGTTGAAGTGGAGTTGTGGAGCGGTTCAGTCCACTGACCGGAATCCTTGTCATTTGTTATTTTTATCACGATTAGATCGCTACAGCTTAATATGCGAGCCTATCAGATGTTTAGAAAAGGCGTTCCCTATGGTATCTAATTCATGTTTATATCATTCTCTCAGTTAATAGACTCGAGTGTCTATTCCTTTATGTGTTATGACCCTTTTCACGATGCCTTATCACTTGAAAGTTCTACCCCTTAAAGAATGAAGGAGAACCTTTGAGCTCTATGCGCAGTGCTGAGCAGTAGAAAGAAGATAGTGAATAGATGATAGGAAGAGTTCATAATGATATCAACAACAGGCTTCCTAGGGACCCTCGCGGTCTCCCCATAGACCGAACTCCGATCCACTACGACCTGTGGAAATTAATGTAAGGTCAGAATATCGATATCCTGTAGCTAGCTGAAGTGCCACCCGGCAGCCCGGATTGGTGGCTTGACATAGCCCCCATTGAGGTCCTAGGAATGGCTGCAACTGTAGCGACAAGCCCTGATGACAAAGCCATTTCAGTCATATTTGAAAACTCTCAATCTGCTATTGCTTTTATCGTGATTATCTCAGCTTTCAAGAACCCGACTTCGAACTTTCTTATGTAAGTACCTACGTATCGTGATATTACATAAAGCTTACATAACATAATAGACTGATATATACATATATCGGTTTACTAGGGTTGTATCATCCCACTATGTACCTAGTAAATGGTACTAAACTGAATTTCCACGCGGCCATATGGTGCCTTGCATACAACGCGGGGCAAATTAAGCTGAAGCTCCTTACGTAGACCTGAACTCCCCACGTTAACATTTTACACCAGGCAACGAGTTTACGAAGCCGTGTGAGTGTCCCTATATAGTCCAGCAATCAAGATACCCTTTAGGACCGACTTAGCGAATCACCGCGAACACCGCAAACAATTTGCCCATCATGGCGGCCAACAATCCCTACGAAGGTAAGTCATAGCGACTTCAGCCGTCGCGCCCGCAAATGAAGGCTATTAGTTTATACTAACACAATGTTCTACTCATAGTCGAGCACAACATTAAGGCGCCAGCGCGTCCTCCCCACAGGAGACGACCCGACATGTCGAGCTTCACATCCCAACTACACCAAATCTCCCGCGATTCCCCAGATTCCAATACACACTCGCACGTGGGTCCGACGCCCGTCGATGCCGCGGGGCTGTACCACCTCGTGCACGACCAATTCGCAACACTATTCCAGGACTCGCCGTCGGCCGAGAACCAGACCTTCCTCACGAGTTTGATGTCGGAGCTACAGAGCGATATCGAGGCACCTCCGGGCCAGATCCCGGGGGTTCGCCAGGAATACCTCGATAGCCTGGACCGGGTGCCGAAGAAGCAGCTCAAGAAAGACGACACCTGCCCTATTTGTGCCGAGGATTACTTGGATGACCCGTACCCGCTGGTTGTCGAGCTGCCGTGTGAAGGGCACCATAAATTTGATCTGGAGTGCGTGGGTCCGTGGTTGCAGAGTAAAGGAACCTGTCCTATGTGTAGGAAAGACTTGACGAAGAAGAAGGTTATTGAGATTCCCAAGGATGACGAGGAAGAGGAGGATGATGTTAATGGGTTGTATGGTTGAGGCTCGCTAGTGGAAATTCTACGGAGAGCTAGGTATGGAGTTGGTGATACCCTATGGGAGATGCAATTCACTCATTATGCCCAGCTGGAGCGATGCGTTGGAAGACACGATCGGATTTGGCTGCATTGTAGAGCTTGTGTGATACATCGATGGTAAACGATTGATGAAACGCCTAAACTCTTGTGTTGGATGCGGATATGTATAGCTTTAGGGAAAGCTGAGCTCAACATCCATATTTAGGACACTTTACTGTTCTTGGGCGCACCACCACCTCCACTAGCTTTCTTCTTCCGTCCACCATGCGACTTATCCTCTTCTTTGCCCTTACCTGCCTCGGCGAAGCTCTTGTTTGCGGGACTCTGTTCTAAGGGGTTGCCATTACTTTCTTCCGCAGCGGCATTCTTCTCGGTCTCGGGGTCTGTCTTATTCGGGTTGAAGGCGGCGTCCTGCTTTGTGGCAACCTCCTCGTCTGTCCCGCTCTGTGTGTACTCATGTGATTTGGGCTTGAAAGATTCGCGATCCATGTCATCTTTGTAGGGGGCGCGCAATGCTGAGGATGGGTGAATCTGCCTAATAGCAGCGAGACGACCGGGGGTCGACGGTAGGTGAGTAGACCGAGCTCGTAGAGCTGTGCGCAAAGTCGTATAGCCCGACATAGTCAGCGTGAATCTTTGAATTGACAATAATTATAACTTGTATGTAGGTTAGAGGAGGTTTGTAATTGAGAGTTTAATTATTCATTTGTAGATTCATCTATGAATTTTGTCTTCAATGATAAGAGCAGTTCGTCGTAATGACGTCACCCACTCAATGAAGAATCTAGAGCAGGGGCAATGGCACTGTTACGGCAGAAGGCAGCTTGGGGCCCCACTTTGGATTCGTAACACTTCGATGTCGTAATCCTCTCAAGAGGAATTTAAGTTTAGTTCATTTCATTATTTCAACTACACACATCTTAAAGAGCCTCATATCATTACTAGGTATTAACTTGCTGTCTCTTTTGGACGGGCACTTGGTAAATTTGCTTCTGTACCGCCTGGAGTCTTCCCGACTCTGTCAGCAATGCGCCCTTTCGGAGTTTAGAGTTGACTCTGAACGAGTTATTTTACACGATGATTCAAGGTCTCTACAAAATTCCATCTTGGTTTTTTCTCATACTCAACTTACCTTGATCAAGTGATTAGGTATATATCTTTCTATAAATCCCAAGTCTAGTTACCTGCCTAACGAGAAATAATACGATGGAGTCTTAACTCTCGTTTGAGCTAAGCTACTAGGTATATATCGCTAAGACCGTTTCGAGTCCATTCTTAGGATACAACAGCTCTTCCACGAGAAGCTCTAGAGCGAAGGTAAGGTGAAATGGGAAGCAACTCTGATTACTGGGTATATAGATTGCTAACCCCAAAATTAGGACACCCTCTCTATGCTCAGGTTTATCATGCCCACTCATATGCTCGCAGCACCAAATGCGTTATATCAACGAAGTATATACAAGAATTTCAAGTCTCCTTGATCACCGTCTAAGGTTTCTCTCAACCTATCATTTTCTTCTATACCAGTAATGCGGCAACCACAGCAAGGCCAGCAGCGATCCTACCATCCGCCGTGAAAACACCACCGGCTTGCTGAGACACGGTTGTGGTGACAGCGGGGGCGGAAGTCACAGGTGAATTATTGCTCGAGCCGTTGGTGGTAGGGTTGGAGGTCGTTGAGCTAGTCGAGCTTGTCGTGCTTGTCGTGCTTGTCGTGCTTGTCGATCTCGTCGATGTCGTGCGGCTACTGCTGGTGGTAGACGTAGTCTCCGCGGTGCTAGTAGTCGTCCTCGTCCTCGTTGTCGTGCGGCTAGTGGTAGAGGTGAAGCCGGTAGCACTGGGGAAATCCGAGAAGCTGCTCCCACTGCAATCCTTGCCTAAGTCACAGCAATACCCATCACTGGTACACGTACCAAAGTCAGGGCAATAATGAAGTCCGTCAGAACAGCAAGTTCCATCTATCGGCATGCAGAGGTTTCCACATGCTGTCTCGCCAATATCACAATCGGCGTCATCGTCGCTGCTGGAGCCGCTGCATATTTTACCATCAGGACAGCATGCGCCCGGAACGCAGTAGTAGCCGTCTAGACAGTACTCATCGGTGTTGTCGTTACAACATACACCGGAAGCGGGCATGCAACCATTTTCGCATGTGATATAACCTGTTTTGCAAGTTGCAAAAGAGTTCAAGAGGTTGGTCTGTGTTAGGCTCTTTGGTAGGCCAGAGCGTGCTCGTGGTGTTGCAGCAAGGGCAACTGGCGCAATGAGAAAAACGAGAGTACGAGTATGCATTGTGGCTTTTGGTATCAGATAGATACACTGGCTTAATGGTCGAGAACTTAAAGCCTAATAAATCGAAGATCAGGAGAGCTACTCTAGGGGGTAAACGTCCGCAGCGCTGCTCATGGCCAGCGTTCTCCTTTTATCTTCCGATCTCTCGCGACTTCATCTTGCTTGGGACTTGAAGTGGCACTGCGACTCATTGTGAAAACCCCTCGACAGCCTGGCTAGGCTGACAAGCCAAGAGACTAGCACAACCCGAAGACCAGGGGATTGCATCTCTGTGGTAAGGATCGGTTCTCGCGATTGCATAAGATCTCCAATAGCTGAACATATTTTATAAATTAGCGGCTTCGCCAATCTTCCAGAGGTTCGGGGGAATCCACGTCCGTATGACTATCAAAAAGATGAACGGAGCATCGTGGATATTCACTTCATGATGATTCGGTAAGAACGCTCATTAGCGTATTTAGCCTTCAGCTGAACGCACTTGGCGATATCCGGTGGCTTATATCTTTCGCCCCCAATACCTCATTTTTCTACCATGCATCGCGAGGAGGCAACGGGTATCCTTCGACTATAAGGAAATATAAGCGAAAAAAAATTGCTAGAATACCTAACTTAGGAGTTATCTAGCAAGCAAGCGCGAATTTCGAGTTGGAAAAGACTCGAGGTCTGGAACATGGACAATACGAGAAAACGAGAATAACATTTGACAATATGAGGGCCCTGCACCTTACGAGCTTTGGACCAAGTCTAATCGCACTTGCAGCTATGGCGGTTTCTCAGCTGAAAAGATCCCTGAACAAAAAGCAATTGTGTGCAGTCATAGTCACAGTTTTCCGAAATCTTCTCACCGATGTTTGTCATCTGATGAAATACTAAGGGGCAGCTAGCCTCATGATAAGCGGAACCAGAATCCGTTGGGCTGACAACTGCACTGCAGAAGTGCTAAGCGAGAATAAGAAGTTAAATTTGACTGCCAAGGCATGGGAATATTGAAGATGAGTTCAAATTTGTTTGATACATTCGCATTTATATATTTACCTGTAGGTTCTCTGCCTACTTTGATATATACCTACCTAGGTAGGCGAAGATCTACCAGCAAGATGTCGACGAGCGACACCGAGAAGTACCGCATATGCGGGAAATGTTCAGCTTAGCCTCTAGCACTGTCGCTCAGCTAGGAAACGCAGCACCTCTGAGGCAGAAAGGACATTGACCTGATTTAAGGATGTTTCTGACAAGCTGACGAGGTTACTAATGATTCAAGATGATTCAAGATGAAGAAAGGATGAAACTACCATTTACCGTCGTTCTTGACAGTCGGAAGTTTGCGAAAATGATACACCAATAGGTAGCTCCTTGAGGCTGTCTTAGACCGGTCTCGTTTGAGGCGCACTTTGGTGATACAAGAAGTTGTGCTATCTAAGGCAACTGTACTAATGATAAGAGACCGGATTATGTACTTATGGGCTCCCTATCCCTACATCTCCCCTAGGAAACATTTACTTATTTACTCCGACAAAGAATATATGGACTCACCGGATCTTTTAACGCTTGCCTAGATGATGAGGTTACGGCTACATTATGATTAACAAAACATGGAGATCTAGAAAATTGTATCCTCCACAGACCAACATACCCATGGATACCTTTTAAGATGAGCCTAATTCTCCTAAACCTTGGTGGGAGCCATTTAAGGAGCATCGTGAACTTAAATTTTAACCATGAAGACTAACTTGAGACTAAGACAGGTGCTCTTTTACTACCTACCTCCTACAACACGCTAATCGTAACAACAAGTCCTACGTAAACTCGAGATAACTTCAGGCAAGATTTTATATCGAATCTAGGGTTCTATCTACGAGAACTCTAACAAGCTTAACGGTTCACGAAAATTGTAAATCCACGAAATGGGGAGATTGTGATAGCTGAACCATGACTCCCACTTCGTATTGCGGCCTCCAGAAACTATCGGCAATTGAGTAGACTTGGACATCGCAGCTTGCATAGAGCCTATTGCTTGCATCTTGCATGCAGCAGTTCCTTAGAATGGGAAGACAATTCGTATTATTCACTCACCCACCTAGACATTATGGCAACCTCGGAGTCAAACATCCTCACTCAAACATGTATGTACCTACGCCATGATGGCAATTGTTCAACTCAGTCTGTCTATCCCTCTTGGATTGGGGAAACTTGTATTCTGCAATTCGTTTTGCCATTGCGTATTACCTATAATCCTCATAGTCAATCCGTCCGTAGTGGCGATAACTTCACCCTTAAGATACGGTTGAATTCACAGACACATCACCATGTCTCTCTCAGCAGACATAGCTGCAAATTCTCTCGATCTAAGTCGGACTTGGGAGGATAAGGGACTCTACGACATCGATCTTACCACGACCGCATTCGAAGTACATTCGACTACTCGCCTTTGCCGACGCGAAGATGACAACGAGTATCCCTCAGGGCTAAAGCTATACCTGGTCATCCTCTCCCTATGCCTAGCCGTTTTCCTCGTCGCCCTCGACCAGACCATCATTGCCCCGGCGCTAGGCGCCATCACGGGCGAATATGGAAGCGTTAAGGACATCGGGTGGTACGGGAGCTCGTACTTGCTAACGTCGACGGCGCTGCAGCCGCTGTACGGCAAGATATACCGCATCTTCGACATCAAGTACGCGTTCCTGAGCGCAGTCGCAGTCTTCGAAATCGGCAGCCTTATTTCAGCCGCAGCGCCGGATTCTACCGTCTTCATCGTCGGTCGTGCTGTCGCTGGGATGGGTACCGCGGGTCTGTTCTCGGGTTCTATCGTCATCCTCTCGTACGCCCTACCTTTGCGAAAACGGCCAGCTATGTTCGGGATGTTTGGGTGCATGTGGGGGATCGCTTCGGTTGCCGGACCGCTGCTCGGGGGAGCGTTTACGGATCATTTAACGTGGAGGTGGTGCTTCTACATCAACTTACCGATCGGAGGACTCGCGATGGTCGTTATTTTCTTCTTTTTAAATATCGCGCGCGTAAATAACCCGGATAATAAAACTTTGCTCGCGAGGGTCTTGGAACTTGACCTGTTAGGGGCTGTGGTTTTGATCCCGGCGATCGTCCTGTTTCTTCTGGCGCTCCAGTGGGGTGGTTCTCAGTATCCGGTATGTCTTTGATGTAACAACTTTCAACTGCAATTTTCTGGAAAATACAGGTTATTAACCCGAGATATCATAGTGGAGCGACCGGCGCATCGTTGGGTTATTCGCCGCCGCCAGTGTTATGACCCTGATATTCATAGGTATCGAGCATTACCAGCAGGATAAGGGATTACTGCCGCCTCGCTTTTTCAGGAATCGGAACTTGCTATGCGCCATGTCGGTAAGTATTAATGACAAGAATCTTAGACCCCGGTCACTTTACTTACTCTAAACACATAGTTCTCTCTCTTCTTCGGCGCATCCTTCTTTCCCCTAATCTACTACCTCTGTAAGCACCCTCCTCACCCAATCTTCACCAGAGCCAACCCTCTAACCCCTCTAGCACTCTACTTCCAAGCCATCCAAGGCGACACCGCCGTCCACGCCGGCATAAAACTCCTCCCACTCCTCATCTCCGTAGTCATCAGCTCCGTCGTAAGCGGCGCCCTGATAACCGCAACGGGGTACTACAACCCCTTCATCCTCACCGAAACAGCCCTGATCGCCATCGGCGCAGGGCTAATCACAACCCTAAGCCCAACCACCCCCTCCGCCGCCTGGTTCGGGTACTTGGCCCTCGACGGCCTCGGCACCGGCGTCGGCTTCCAAGCCGGCGTAACCGTAGCCCAGAACGCGCTCCCCGCAACGCCGACCTCCCACCTACTCATCCCCCAAGCAACCTCCAGCGTGAACTTCTTCCAATCCCTAGGCGGCGCGCTCTCCATCGCGCTCTCACAAACCGTCTTCCAAAACGGATTCATCGCGAACCTCTCACATCTATCCCCATCCCTCGACCCCACTCTCTTCACGCACAGCGGCGCGGGTCAAATCCGCGCCGTACTTTCCGCGATCGGACGAGAAGAGGCGTTAGATGCCGTGCTAGAAGCGTATATGGCGGGACTGCGCCGGACATTCTGTATATCGGCTGGCGCGGCGGTAGCTGCGTTCGTGGCGGCGCTGGGGCTGGAGTGGAAGAAGATCGGGAAGAGCGAGGGTGGAGGTGGTGGGAAGGGGGTTATCGCTAGGGGGCTTTACGAGTACCAGCGGGCGTGCACGCCGGCGCCTGAGTTCGATGCTTTGTTTGAGGGCGCGGGGGAGCTGTGTGCGGCGAAATTGAGGAAGAAGGGTGCGAGGTAGGGAGGGAAGACATGTTAGAATTGTGATGAGGTTATATGTGCCTAGTGTGTTTGGATATGGTCTGTATAGGTAGAGTTTGATAAGTGCCTACATGTAGTTGTTTAGGTAGTTTTGTCATTTGCACCATGAGGTGGTATAGCATGGTAATTATTCGCCGACGTTCTTGCGCATAGCACCAGTCTCAAACTAAGGTCCAATAGATACGCTTTTCTCAATTCAAACGATCTACGCTACTTTTTTCTACCTACTGAAAATTTGAGAGATCGAAACTCCAAAAACAACCTAAGTACCTAGTAGTACCTACCTACCTAGTAGGTACGCACAAATCCAACACGGACCGTGAGGGCAATTTCTCACGAGTATTCCCGTACCAGAAGTCCTTTTCTCATAACCCATCCAAACCAGCTACAGCCAACAATAGTACGAAAATCAATCCTCATTTTCATTCAACATCGCAAACCAAACCAAGCCCCGTACCGTCACACCACATTCTAGATGTAGTACATCGTATCTTTGAGGTTTCTATGGACCTCGTTAAATCTAACAGCTGAGACACCGGTGGTCGTGGATTCAACATCAGAGCGGTCGAAGTAGTCAGACAAATAGACCCGCTGACGAGTGCAGACGATGTCGGCGTAATATGCCGGAGGGCAAATGCTAACTGCTTTAGTAGCTCGACCAAACAGGTAACACATCTCGTGCGTCAACGTCTGTAAAGCGTCGGCTGCACCTGTCCCTTGACTAGAACGGAAGATTTCGTCCAACAACACGGTGTAGTGTGCGGGTCGTGCCGTGCCTAGATCACGTTCTATGTTAGTACATGGGGCAGCTGTTGGGTTGGGTGCGATAAAACTTACCTTGTAAAGCCTGGTGGGCAGTAAGATAGAAGTCCCAAATCAGCGCCTGGGTGACTCCGCGATCCACCACGGTGCCATTCTTGATATTTCGAGATCCTGTCATGTGCGCTGGGTCCGTTGGGTAGAATCGCGTTTGGTGACGCTTTACGGAAACAATGAGCGAGATCTTGGGCGATTGTGTAGCAGGGTATAAAGAAGCGCAGGCTGCCCGTATCGAAGGCAACTCCTTATCCAAGACTTGTTTGAACTGACCCTCAGATACACCATCTCGGAAGATGAGGATATTCTGAGGGAGTCGGGACCCATTCTTCTTTTTCCAAAGATCTAGGCGCTCACTAAATTTCTCTCTGAGGAGCTGCTCATCGAGCATCTCTTTCTTGCTGTCCTGGGACCAAGCCGCAGCAGGCCATTGGGCCAAATCTGTGTCTACACTGGAAACCATCCCGACCAAGCTTGGCAGATGATCAGTGTTTTTCCCCATGTTAGTCGGATGGGTTACGTCGTAACCGACAACCATTGTCTTCCCCTCCTTGATGAGGGGGACGTCGTTGCTGAGCTTGTGGTTTGCCCCTCCCATCTTGAGATTTACCTTGAGAGCGACATTGGCGAAATACTGTGGTTGTAATTTGACAATATTGGCTTGCAGGACACAAACCGTGGGAATTCCGTACTCAACATCACCTAGGCGCTTGACGACATTGTATATTTCTGTGTCCGTCTTCCTACCGGGAAGAATAACGAATAGCATATCGGGAGGGTCTCGGGACAGAAATGCAAACTTGCCCTTCAGGATATCTATCGGTGATGCGCCTCTCGGAATATAGGCATCCGAGCCCTGCAAATACTGGTTTTCGGCAATATTGATGCCTGTTCTTCTCATGTGCTGTACAAACTCCCCCATAGCATTCTTCATTTGATCTTTGTCGTAACGACCATAATGAACGGTGAGATGGGTGTGTTTCGTGATCGGCCGACCAGGCCTGACGACTTTCACCTGTCGCATATTCCAGCTTCCGTCGAATGCTTTAACACTCGTCTTCTTATTCTTAGGGTCGAGATAAGCGATGTCAGGGGCTAAGAGTTCACGCCCTTTCACCGTTAGTAGTTCCTTGCCAGCAGTCACCTTAAACTCCGCCTAAATATAATTAGTAATCAGGATAGAGTCACATTCGATATTGAAGACCGTCACTTACAAGTTTAGGATTACCGTCAAGGCCCAGAACTTTACGGCCCACAGTACTCAACGACATTGCGTTAGCCCAGGGCGACCGACACGCATACAGAATCATATTTGCAGTCTCATCTGCAGTGGTTTTCCGTTTCAAAACCTGCCCTTCAATCACATCCACCAGTTCTGCTGGAAAATAGGTGGGTTTCTGGCGGTTACACTTCACCACCGGATATTTGTCGTTGGGTCGCCATCCATACTCTGCGCAGCTCTTAGTATTAGTGTTGAGGGGAAGAGGCGGGAATACATACTCTTCTCATAATATTGAGTAACTGTACAATATTGGCCTGCTTTTAAGCCAGGGGGAGCATCTCCATTCAAATAGAACGACACCTCTGAAGGCCCTGCGCCCTCTCGTTTCACCTGTGGCCCATTCGCAATGCCTCTGCCGTCGTTTGGCATCGCGATGCCCGCAATGAGCTTTTTCATGGTCCTTTCTCCAGATGGTTTAGAATCTTTAGAGCCCGGGACCTTCTTTGTGGCCAGGATCTTAATCGAAGCACGAAGCCCCGAGAGAAATTTGTCAAGAGCCCTCGGGTTGTTCTTGAGATCAGAACTATCCATTAATTTGGGCACGGGTCCCGAAGGACGAAACACGCCGTGGGTGACGTTGGCATTTAGAAGTAACCGGCCTGTCGCGGGTCGGGCACTTTGGAAATATCCACGAATAACAGTATTGAGATCTGGACCTCCCAGTTGGTTCTTCTCCGAATCCATATTCATAGGGAAGTATCGACTGCGACCCACAGAGCCGACCCGGTCGTTGGTTCGTGCGTAATATCCAGTAATGATCCCCAGAGCATCAATAGCTTCGGAACATCTAGGGAAGCTGTTATTCTCACCAGGTGGTGCCTGCATTGATCGAATATAGGCTCTTAAGGCGTCCATGTTAATGTCAGGTGCAGGATCGAATTTGACCTTGTAAATATCACCTCTTCCCTCGTCAGTATATGTGACGTCGACTGTCATCCCGGCCGGCAATTTGAGGGGGGCTGTAGAAACAACCTGCGATTTATGTTCAGTCGCGTGGGGAATTCCTGTGGCGACCTGATCCAAGGCTAACTTAATAATAGCTCGGAGTTTCATGCCTTTTGCCTCCCTGTCCTTACTTTTGGCGTTGTCATTCCCCTTGCCTTTTCCTTTGCCTTTCCCCGCAGGTTTCTCTTTGGACGATTCTGCATCATCTTTCTTTTCTTTTTGTTCTGTAGCTGTCATAACATAGCTATATAGAGATGGAGTCTTCACATCCAAGGTGAAGTAATTGGCCCAGAGTGTTACCTCAGTACCTTTCGTACCATAAGCTGGTCGAAGAGGTAAAAACTCCTCGGACATGGGCTTTGAGCCCTTATTGGAGGAAACCTTGAGGGCGGACATCCTGGTTTGCATATCCAAGTCCTTAAGGATGTTGTCTTCCAGTTTGGTGATAGCCGGATCCGGCTGGGCCACAGCATTCGCCCTTATTTCTATCAGCGTTGAATTCCAGATAATAGAACCCATAGATTTGAGCTTACTTGAATATCGCCTCCTCCCCCGCAAACTTGTCCCCGCGGCCGCCTCGTCCGCCACCTCGGCCGCCCCGGAACTCGCCTCTACCTCGTCCCCCTCCTCCTCCTCCGCCACGATACTCTCCCCCTCCACGATACTCACCACCGCCTCGACCACCACGATAATTACCACCAGAGCCTACCCCAGAAAACGTGCCGCTACCGCCGCCACGCCCTCCAGGAAAATCCCCTCTTCCTCGTCCCCTGCCGCGATCACCGCGATCACCGCGACCTCTACCTCTCCCACCACGGTCCGCCATGGTGGAGTCGGAACGATAATAAGACGAACCGGAATAAAATTATGTCCAAGTCGATATGTATATTCAATTAAATGTGACGCGAGAGTTTGCTAAATATGCCGTGATGATCCTGGTAAAAACCTATGAGCTATCGAACTTTATGGTTTGGTTTACTTATGGATATTGGGTAACGATGAATGAATCATGAATTGGCTGACAAGGTAGAATATCTATAAGTATATATAGAGTACATAGGATAACCATGTGTGTGGTATGTGTTGGTTCTTTTAGGTACCTAGGGTGGACAGTGTTTTGCATTGCAAGCAAGTAGGCCACGGGTGGAAAAGGCCTGTAGCTCGCTTGCTAAAGCGACAAAGGCGTTTGACTGGGAAAACAACAGAGAAAGGTATGACGATCTGGGATATATGAAACCTCAGACTACTGTACAAGAACGCTGATCCAACAGGTTAGTTACATACCAGATGTGTTGGTGATGCGGTTGACTTTGGTCGTTGGCTGCAACGTTGTGGGGTAGAAGCAAACAACCGACAACCTTTGCCAGAGACTTTCTTGTCGACGCGGATGCTATGTGCTACAAAGCAGCGGCCCGAAGTGAAACTGATGGATTTGGATATTCCAACAGGTTAGATGAGGCTTAGATGGCGTGGGCGTGAGTGTATTCCTGTCAGATATCTGAGATATCCGAGATATCCAAGGCAGGGTTTTTGTCGAGACTCTATGGAGCAACTCCAAGTAAACTGAATACGGTCTAAGACCCGAAATGAGCGATTGATATTCCCCAAACAGAGCAAATATGAAGTATTAAATAACTGTCATTCCAAGGCATTCATACTATTCCCCATATCAACTTAGGTAGTTGTAACGGAGATGATAGAAGAGAAACCCAAAAGAAAAGAACGGAGGGGACCCGAAGAGCTATTTACTTAGGCAGCTTAGGTAGCTAGGTACTAGGTACCTAGGTATCTAAAGACGCGAGGTCCACCCTGCCAGCAAAAGGAACAAGGATCCGATAACTCGAGATATAGGTACATGCAAGTACATTTTCTCAGGTGGATAGGTTACTTTAAGTTACCTATCCTTAGGTATCTACATACTGCATGTATCCCTGAGCCCGTATTACAAACAGGCGACAATTTCCATTTCCCCATCTCCTCAGTCCTCAAAACAGACCAGAGAAGTTCGGAGATTTTGCTTTTTATTCTTTATCGAAAATTACGAGCGGTGAAAGGATCCGGATAGCTGAAGTTTTCCCCGACTGCACGATTGTTCAACTTTTAGACACTTAACTATTTAAAGCTTAGTAGGTGGTGGGATAAGAATTCGTCCCGCGATTTTGGTACAGGCATCCTTGTCTTAGCCAGCCCTTAACCCCGCCCTATGTGGCGTTTTTTGAGCTCAGCTAGGTATATCCTGCATAATATTAAAAGGACGTCACCATATAGGAGTAATTGGAATTTGGAAAGACATTGAAGAAGCAAATATACTCAAGTGGTCAGGTAGCTATTAATTACTAATTAGGTAGGTTTGCCTGCGTTTTTTGCTACGTTCCAGGTAATCTCCGTTACTCACGAATGCCACAACAAGGTAGCAGGTAATATTTCGTTTGAAACGCTTCGTTATACCAACCAACTCGAAGTCAACCAATCCAACGATATATGTAGGACCTAGATAATCCCAAGTATGTACATGTAGGTATTCAAGATATTAAGCTCGCTTACAAGCAGCAATTTTAAATGTATTCTCTATGTATAGATCATCAGAGGTAAGTCCTCTTCTGGAAAAAAATGACATGTCTCTTTTAAACAACAAAACCGTCAGCTCATTACCTACTTGCGATTGCAAACGACCAGTCATGTCAAAGTACGTTGTGAGTCATTTTGACTAGTAGACAGCTCGAAATTCTAACAGGATTTTATCCTTTCCATACTTACCAATGACCACTTGATGACTTTAGATATTATATTAATTATGTGATCGAACGCAATGTCCTGGGTCATTCTCTTGATTCTTGTACGACTTCGATGGTTCCATACCTATGTATCTACTACCATCTGGTATAAAATTGCGAGTTAGGATTACAACCGGCTTATCTTCTACACCTCGTAAAATCAGCTATGCATCCATGGATGTGTAACCCATAGGTATTTTATATCCCACATCCGTGACCTTAGTAGGTAGGTAGTCATCACGGCAATTATTTACCCAGTCTGCCAGACCAGTATTCTATTACTTCGATAAGTAACATATGCTTCGGGCAATTATTCAAGCATCTATCTACCTAGGTAGGTACCCAAACAGCCAAGTAAAGAGCTCTTGATTATGTATACATACCTACCTAGGTAGGTAAGTATCAGCCTCAACTATCCATCAAATAGCCTTATGCTGGTCTAGCCTAACTATCCCAGACATTTCGCATGCATTATGCAACCTAGGAAGCTAAACCCACCCCACGGTATATTCTTAGGTTACATATCTGCAGACATTGTCTTGATGAAGTACCTTAGGTAGGCAAGAACATCTTATTGGAGTGTCCTCGCATATTGGACTCCCTACCTAATAGTTGGGCGACACGTAAAGTCTTTAAGCCTAAATCATTTTTCATCCTCCTAAGAACTTTTCGAGATCCGGATTTCTCGAATCCTCTAAAATGAAATTAAAAGATGGGGAATAGTCCGATAGACGTCGTCGCACATTTCATTTCAACCTATTAATTGTGAACCCCGTGGGGACATAGGGGATTACCGGATCGGCCCGCTTTGCTCGCCATCAATATCCACAGTTGCCGGGTCATGTACCTACCTAGTAGCCTAGGTACATATGAAAGCAACGGAAATGCCTAATAAATACCTATCTACATAGTAGTTTCCAACGTTGAGTCGATGTAGGAATAGTGTGAACTTAGGGCTACTTGCACGTGTTCCACGAATCAAGCACATCAGCAGGAATTCGATGTGATCCAACGCCTCTATGCATCCCAACTGTGTTCTTACTGGCTCGGTACTCGCCACGGTAACCTGCGTTTTCTGTTGCATAAACATCTGCGAACATTACGGAGGATGGCCACTCTAATGTCCAGCTACCGGTTGACCTACATAAGGTAGGTATGTAAGTGGCATGATTTGCCAATAGCTTGCTTACGAGGTACAGGCAGACAGGTAGCCCTGAGGTGTCCCTCTTTCAGTGGACTTGCCAGCTTGCATGGGTCAGGAAAGCTTGTGTAACAGTTAAAAGAATGAAAGTGGCAGGAAAGGAAAATTGTTGTCACGTCACCAGTGTTCATCGTTGTCATTTGAATGCCTTAGGACTCAGACAGTCAGAGAGGTAGGCTATGGTGGTGAATAAATCCTACGACCCTTATAGGATCCCATAATACTTACCTTCTACATAAGCCTAGACTCTGGTATAACACATGTAGGTTAAGTGTTCCAAGTTGTAATTTCAGAGTTACAATAAACTTGAAGTTAATACGTAGTACCTAGTGTAGACTCAGGAGCTTTAGTGTTTAGGCAATGAGAAAAACTTGATGTGCGAGTGTGCACTGTAGGTTGTAACCTAAACGAACGCAAAACCCTAATATTGCTAAAAGAAGTAACTTCCGTCCACCTATTAGCCAATAGGCAAGGCAACCACGACCGGCACAACATCGGAGCTCCGTAACTACTTTTTGCAGCATTATCATATACCTCAAATCGCGAGAACACAACCACTTCCGGTTCCCCCGGAATCAGCCCGGTTAGCTCAATCGGTAGAGGTTAGTTGATTGCCGCATAGTCCTTTAACCATGTGACACTAACAGTCCAAATAGCGTGAGACTCTTAATCTCAAGGTTGCGGGTTCGACCCCCGCATCGGGCTCAATTCCCGATGCATCTCTTCTAAAGAGATACTTCGAATCAATATTTCTTTCTTTTTGAAAAATCCAGTCTCTCCTATCTCGACAACCGAGTTTTCTTTTTGTAGAGCCTTAGGATATGATACAGGAAAGCAAGTTGAGTGGCAGAACTACTTACCTATTAAGTAAATAGATTGAGCAATTGTCCCCAATGAGCTGGTAGTTTATGAGTACCTGCCAGCCTGCGTACGTACCTAGCCCTGAAGTAGTGCGAAGGACCGCGGATGAGATTAATCTCAAGTAACAATTCGATGAAACGCGAGACATTTTTAGGTTAAGACAAGACGAATTCAGATTTATCTTCTCCAAAACAAGCTCGTATTCATATTAGGTAGATTTCTCATGGCCCGCTGTCGCAACTTCTATTATCTCCTTCTCAAGTCCAGTGACGTGGATAAATCCAATACCGGCATCTTTCAACTTCTGCTTGCTGGAGTTACCACTTACGAACTTTTCTGGCTCGTAAACCCCGACATAGACGGTTTTAATCTTGTTTCCAATAGCTAATATCCTATCCACGCATGGCATATTGCCGCTGAGCCTTTGTGAACATGGCTCAACTGTTGTGTAAAGTATGACTTCATTAGGGAGGATCTCGTCTAGGCGACTTGCTGGTACACTGTTCCTCTCTGAAATCTTCTCAAAACAGCATTGTTCAGCGTGCGTGTTCCCTGGAAGCTCTAGTGTATAGCCTGTTGCCAGTATCTCATTTGTGGCTGCGTTCACCACAACGGCTCCAACTCGGTAATTGGTAGGCTTCGGTGGGGATTTTGTGGCTAAAGAAAGAGCAAATTTAATGTACGATAAATGATCTTCCGCCTCTATATCATTTTGAAGCGCGTCTTTGAGCATTTTCTTTCTGATGGGATGAGATGGTAAAAGGGACTTTGCTCGTCGATTATTCAGATTCCAATTACGTGCATAAATACCCCACTAACATGCTTAATTGGCAAGTCCTTATCGATAAGACGCGTAGTGTAGACAAGAATCGCGTGTAACGCGATCTTAATACTTTAGCTCATCAAATCATCAAATATTAACATCAAACTTCCACTACGCTTATCTACATCGCTTCTTGTGATATTTACTCGCTATGGACGATTCGGATGATTTACTCGCGGGGGAACCGCCCACCATCGATCCATATGAGGTTCTTGGTCTAGAGCGCACGGCAAACGAAGGCCAAATCAAATCGGCCTATCGCAAACTCGCCCTAAAGAACCATCCAGGTAGGTCCTTAGCCGCAGAGGGTATTTGCCTATCTTCGCATTCTAAATTGTGCTATCTATAGACAAGGTTGCCGAGGATCGAAAGCAAGAAGCCCACGAAACTTTCCAATCTATAGCCTTTGCCTACGCTGTCCTATCCAACCCTACAAGGCGCAAACGTTACGATGAAACAGGTTCGACCTCCGAGTCCATTGTCGACTCCGACGGCTTCAGCTGGACGGATTTCTACCGAGAACAATACCGCGACACAATTACTGCCGATGCGATAGAGAAATTTGCCAAGCAATATAAGGGATCCGATGAAGAAAAAGATGACATCTTGATCGCCTACGAACAGCACAAAGGCAAGATGGACAGGATCTACGAATCAGTCATGCTCAGTGATGTCCTTGAAGACGATGAAAGGTTCCGCACGATCATCGACGAGGCAATTGCTAGCAAGGATGTTCCCACCTTCAAAGCGTACACACACGAGAGCAAGAAGTCTAAGGAAGCACGAATCAAAGCTGCCCAGAACGAGAGCACTGAAGCTGAAGAATATGCCAAGGAATTAGGAGTTCATGATAAGTTGTTTGGCGGTAAGGATAAGAAAGGTGATAGTGGTAAGGGGAAAGGTAAAAGTAAGAAGGGGTCGTCTGAGGACGGCTTAGCAGCACTTATCCGCAGTAACCAGCAAGGCCGAAGTAATTTCTTAGACAATCTCGCAGCTAAGTACGGTGCAGCGCCGAGTACAAAGAAGGGGAAGAAACGTGCTGTCCCGGAAGAAGAGCCCTCGGAGGAAGCCTTCCAAGCAGCCGCCGCAAGACTTAAGAAAGGGAGGAAGAAGTGAGGCTATCACCAAGAGGCTTGGTTTGACCTGATTGTTGTTTTTCTGCGCGGCGTATACGGTATTATATTAAGGCAAGCAAGGAATCATCGGGACAGGTATGCGTCGAGCCTACAGCCTAGGACCTGTACCACGGTTGTTTAGGAGTAGAATACGTGATGAATTTAACAATTGTTAGGGATGACTTCTTAAGCACGTATCTAGGTACCTACGTAGGTATTCCATGGATACCACCCGAGCAGGCAGCCCTATACAATAAGTGGGGCATATCTTAGCTTATCAGTGCCCTGAAGCTTTCCGCGTCCGTCGCGTCACTTTGCTTAATGCTAACCTTGGAACTTCAACTTTTTTAAGACACCACCAACCCAGCAGGCTTGCAAGCATTGCTCTTTAACAGTCAACCACCAAAATGCGATGACAAGCGCAGAACCGCTTGTGTATTATCCCGCATATTGCTTCCATCTATCACCAACAATAAACAAATGGTGTCCTCTGCGCGCTATCGACATCCATGGACTTGAATGTCGACCTGGATTTGAAGGTACTCACATATGCGATCCCATAATATATGCGACTTAGCTTACCATATCAAAGCCGACAATGTTTTTTTCTCCCTTAACCACCCTATTCGCTGGGTTCGAATCGTTGGGGTCGTAGTTGCGATAGACGAATTCTATGGCAACCGAATCTATACGATTGATGACAGCACCGGTGAATGTATCGATTGCTCTATCAAGATCTCGAAGCCGGCCGATGATAATCGCCAGAATAGCGTAGGCTATGGAACGAATGCCGTAACCCCTGCTCCAGATCCTCTTTTGGATATTGATGTTGGCATGGTCGTCGAGGCTAAGGGAAGCACGATGATATTTAGAGATCAAAAAAAGATCAAGATTCAGAAGCTACAGAGAGTCAGGTCGACAAATCAAGAGGTCCAGTTTTGGAACAAGATCCACGAATTTCGAAACGAAGTTCTCAGCAGGCCTTGGGTGCTAGAGAGGAAAGAGGTACGCCGGTGTAAGAAACAGCACATGGCCGATGTGGATGCCGAAGAGCGCAAGAAAAAGAAAAAGAGAGAGAATGGGTACACTCTAGACAAGAGTGTCCATAATAACGAACTCGCGGTTAGGAATGAACCTACAAAAAGCAAGCCTACGAAGCAAGAACCTCTGAGTAAGCCAGAAGTCAAGGATGCCAACACCGGTGGCCAATACGATGCGTTGGGGTTATAGAGGTATACCACATAACATTGAGCTCTACTTGTTTTGTAGATGGACATGTTATCTCTAAGCTCATAGAAAATGTTTCTGATGACAGAGTGTTTGGAAAGGCTTGGCAAGTTGTTACAACTACCATACCGCAGGTACTAGGTCTGGTAGCAAGGACTGTGATACCCTCCTTCGAGATTCTTTTCGCTTTTATCATATCCATAGATACATGTCAATGTTGAAACAACCTTATTATGTATCTTGACCAGACACTCCTTACTGTCATCAGGAAGGTCTTAGCAATCTAACATGCTAAAGTATATAAGTGGGTCTCATCAAAATTGAGCTCGCCGGCAATTGGTGGCTCATAAGTGCACGTTGTACAAGCTGTTTATTCTTTGCACACGGTGATTTCCAAAGTCAGGTTGTAAAGAGACATTGCTCTTTCCAGCTCGCAGCATACGTCTACTTGAGGCAGCTACGAGGCTACTTTCTATGATTTGTCATCGGTTCATAGAATCAAGTAGCTAAACTTGTTCCAAGTTGTCTGACGCGGCCATCCATAATACTCTCTATTCTCTCCATCAACACCTTATACCTAACAGACCTAGATCTAGACTCTACCTACCTAAGACCGATTAATCCACTCTTGTTCTTCTACAGCCGACATAATTATTTCATATAATACTAGGCTTGTCTCGTTCTCCAGTCGCGACGTTCCGCAATTCTCGAGTCTCATTCCAGTGACTCTTCTAGACTCCTTCGTTTGCTCAAACCCATCATATAGGTAGGACCCTTTAACCCCTTTTCAAGACAACCCATTCCTCAGCCCATGACATGGACTACACACGTCACATAACGTTGGCAATTCTGAGTCAACCGTCGTCTGGTACACCGATTCCATTCTTCAGTATCACGATCTACTCAAGCCATCCATCATGTCAGTCAAGAAAACATCCAACCTGCCCACTACTTATTAGGCTCGGGTTTGAAGGATTGGGTTTCAACCCTCGAATGTGAATCTTGTCTATGATTTCAATATTTTTATGATACACCTCGCTATACACTTTGCTATACAACTTTCCTGTTTCAATGCTCCTTGACGAAGTTACGATATCACGATACCTGAAACATTCTACGCTGAGTAACGGTTGCTGTTGAAGACCTTGCGATAGAGTCTCATGATAAAATCACCAAGAATACCTCCTCTTCGACCCCTATTTATTTCTCTGGATTGGTCATGCGGTTGCTTTGGATGCTGACATTACTTCAGGTCTCCCCTGGCCTGACGGCCTGGCTTTGGGCTTCGAATAGCGAGATCCGGTCATATCGGCAAGGCAAACGCGCTAGACAAACGTTGCAGGATAATTACTCCCCTGTACCAGCAAGTCAGGATCATCACCACAAAGATTTTCGGCCCTTCCGTATTGTCGCAAATTCCTCGGAACCAGATACAAATTCCACCATAGGAGGAACACCACCGAGCATAACCCCTATTCTGGAACCGTCCGGACCCGAGTCTAACCCGGCAAATACCACTATGCCTCTGCCAAAAGACATCTTCGGCACGCCAATTGCAACAAACGCCCCTCCGGCGTCTTTCCCGGTTCGAAAAGACCATCCGGTTGCCCGAACAGGGATAAATGGACCGGCGCCTATAGGCACGAATAAATTCTACGCCAACTTCTTCCTTGGTAAACAGGTCTCGCCTACATATGTGCATCCGTACTCAGTAGTTTGGTCGCAGGGCCAAGGGGCCTCGTCCAGCTGGGGGTTAGCGATTTCACATACCGAAGCAGACCAGATTACCTACGGCGAAGTGTCAAACGAGACAGGTGCCGCTAGATATTTTCTTAACCCCCTTGGTATTCAGTCCCTGTGTCTCTCCGCGCAGGAACTAGGACCACAGACTACTTTGACAACCGATAGTCTTTCCTCGCAATCAGCCAATGTCAACCTACAAGTCGACTCCAAAGCGACGCCAATAGTCACATTCCCACTGGTGCAAGGCATGGGGTTTGTCACGGCTATCTACAAAGGAGGGACGCCGGTTATCACCACTGGTATTTACTTCAAAACGGTTACGAAATCGATCAAGGGACCCAAGGATGGTGTGACCAAGTACACCTTATATCTCGAAAACGGTAAAGTGTGGCATGTGTACGCCTATTCGGAAAAGGGTGACACATTCGACCTCACTGTAGTCAACAACAAACTGGCTAAGGCTGAGAAACCTTTCAATGGTATTGTCCAGGTCGCAAAGGATCCAGGTAATGCTGAAAAAATAATTGATACTGCATCTGGGGCATATCCGATCAATGTAACACTTTCTGGCTCCATTTCCGGGTCCAAGGGCACATATAAATTCACCTACAAAAAAGGAGGACTCTCGAGCGCGAAATTACTGATGTACGCCTTGCCTCATCATTATGACGCTTTTGATGATGCTACATATAAAAGTATGACTCCGGCAAAGCTGCAGACCACAACCAAGGGAATGGCAGTAGGGGTTGTTGCGGATTCGTGGACAATGGTTGAACCGAATATGCCCATTTCGATGGGGTTCGCTCCTTGGGATCCCGTCGACGGCGAGAAGAAAACTCTCAGCGAATCGGCAATCAGTCAGATCAGTCCAATTGCGGTTAATGAGACCGCTCAGGATGTATCACAGCAGTCGGATCAAAACTCTATGTATTTTGGCGGAAAGGTATGATTTAACATAATGCAGTCGTTATCCCACATCTAAGGATTGTTTGATAGCTGACAGATAGGATAGGCTCTGGCGAAATTTGCCGGAATTTGTTACACGGCCAATGACTTGCTCAAGAACACGACGTTGAGTCAGACTGGTCTGAAGAAATTGAAAGTCGCCTTTAGTCGATTTGTAACAAACAGGCAACAATTTCCGCTGTACTACGAATGTAAGCCAGCCAATTTGTAGATATTTGGGTTTAACTGACGTTGGAAGCTGCTTGGGGAGGGTTGGTCTCTTCGGCAACCTACAAGACAGGAAATAACGGCGCGGACTTTGGTAACACTTTCTACAATGATCACCATTTTCATTACGGCTATTTCATCTATGCCGCCGCCATCATCGGCTACCTTGACCCTGGTTGGCTTACCAAAGAAAATGTCGACTTTGTAAATACGATGGTCAGAGATATCGCCAATCCTTCTCCCTCGGACAAATATTTTCCAATATTCCGTAATTTCGATTGGTATCATGGTCACAGCTGGGCTCATGGTCTATTCGAGACGGCCGATGGAAAGGTCAGCAGTTCCAATGACTTACTATCGTGATTCACTGATACTGAGCTCGTCTCACAGGACCAAGAATCAAGTTCGGAAGATGCGATGCACGCCTATGCTATCAAGATGTGGGGAAAGACAATCAAGGATTCCAATATGGAGGCCCGGTAATAGTATACGGCCAACAACTATTCCCATAGAAACTAACATATTGTAAATTATAGGGGTAATCTGATGCTAGCCGTCATCGCTCGTTCTCTCAGCCGATATTACCTCTATACAGAAGACAACAAGGTACAGCCTCCGGATTTTGTCGGAAACAAGGTTGCTGGTATTCTTTTCGAGAATAAGTGCGATCATACGACGTACTTTGGATCGAATATTGAGTACATCCAAGGCATTCATATGATACCGCTCTTACCCAGCACGAAGCTCACTCGACCCGCTAAGTTCGTTAAACAAGAGTGGGCGACGTACTTTGATAATGGACGAGCCGACAATGTTGAAGGAGGATGGAAGGGAATTCTTTACGCTAACCTGGCTACGGTCGACCCTCAAACCGCATGGAAATTCTTTACGCAGAAGGACTTCGATTCCTCATGGTTAGATGGGGGCGCTTCGTTGACGTGGTATCTGGGGTACTGCGCAGGTAAGTCCACATTGATTATCATTTCCAACCGCAGGTAAACTGACTAGTTCCAAGCCTTCATGTGATAGGTAGGCGAGCCTGGCCGGCTTTTATGAGAGGTGGGTTGCTTACTGAACAGCCGAGCAAGAAGACTGGATATAATGCAGACGCTGAAGGCCGATTTAATAATTTATTGAACATGAATAATGATTAAGGCTAGATCAAGGAATATGGATCTGGCTCGAAATACCTAGAGTACCTAGTACCTACTTGTATACATACCTCTCTAGCCTACGAACAGAGTTGATTTCATATTTTCACGCCGCGTTTACATCGACCGGGCGCAATAGTCGATTCGATAGTTTGAGCTTTTGAGCCTTACGGACAGCCTATGGCGATTAAGATGGAAATGAACGTGTCATGGCCACCTAGGTATTTCTTGGTAGAGCTTGGCTTATACATAGCCCTGTTTTTTTGGCAGACGTACATACAGAGCAGGATGAAGAGTGGGATATACGGATGACGTCCTAACTCCGTTCAGACCCCACGTTTTCTTAACATGATGCTAATACCTAGTACTGCTGCTACCGCTGCCGTGTAACTTACGCAAGCAGGCAAGGCGGGATTTATCGATACTAATCCCAGGAATATGCTTATCTAGATCTAGTTCCGAATGTAATTGGCTTCTTGGTTCATACAGTGCGTGACTGGGAGGCCTCCATCTTTATCCGTCACTATCGGACTGTTTCATGGAAACTTGCAAGTTTCACAACATTTTCAACATAGCCACACTCTTGGCGCTCCCTCTTTCTACATATGTACTGCATACAAGGTAGATTGTCCGTTAATTGGCGGCGCCCGAATACTTTGTGGAAGCCATTGGTATAGATATTTGCATTTAAAGACCAATTGGGTATCTTAGATATTTATTACTAGGTACCGGTCCGAGATCGTTCCTAGGTCGCTCTTTATTCCCTCTTCTGCTTCGGATGGCTCGGGGAAATTCCATTTATCGTATGGATGAATTTATTTTTCTCAGTCCCAAGTGCACCCAATTTAAGGATCGACCTCTGACTTGGGTCGACTCAGATCGTTTGATTCGTTTCTCTGTCGAGCTCGGGGTACCTTGTCCGGACAGTTGGAGCTAGAAAGTCGTGCTTTCGTGCTTAGCTTCCCTGTAAGACCATCCCATCATCCCACAAGCCCCTGCTTTTCTGGATCCCTGTGCACCCTTCGAGCTGCCGCCACGTTTTGCTGCAAGGTATGGGAGGTCTGCTACCTCCCTAGTACTGTACACTCTCTTCACCGTGTCTAGGTGGAGTACATAGCTGTATTAAGGTCAGCTTAATTAGCTTCATGACCTAGGTCCTACATAGGTACATTTCAGAACAAACGACGTCAACATATTGCGACTTGGACTATCAACAAAGAAGAGATATATCTAACTAATCCGTCTTAGACTTGCGAGAAAAGACCTAAGTTCGAATAGCCGCGCCTTGGCGATTCTAGGATCTCTCATTACCTTCATTCAACACTAATACATGCCAATACATACCAAGAGTCCAAGACGCAGGACAAGCGAAGCTACCTGGCTGTGATGATCACGGTGATCACGACTCGCCCGAACTGTATTCCGCCTAGAAACGTTGTTTTGATTTTAGCATTTTAGTAACCCCCCCTTAAGTCTCATCTCCCTTTTCGAGAGGGCGGAAAAGAAAAAAAAACAAAGACTCAGGTCCTGGTAGCTAGCTCTCGGCCGTCTGCGCCTCAATTTCTGCACATTATATTTTTTTTCAGTTCGTTGCTTTCGGGGGAAACCCAATTGAGTCCCAATGGTGTGTAAGTACAGATGACATCTTCTTTCTTCGGGCTGGATCTCCTTTCGATATACCACATCTATACCAACCTATACATACATTTACCCAATTGCATGCCCGATTATTAGTCAGAACCCTTTTTCCCATCCCAATTCCTCTCCATTTTCTCTTTAGATCTCGTCCCTTTTTTGGTGTTCGCTACGTCCCGTAGGGCATGTGGTGTTTTGTCGCCACCGATATACATCGACGGACGACCGGACTTTCAGGTTATTTTTGTTGGCTAACGATGACGCGCAACGATGGCTCGCGATTTAGTCAATTTACCCAGCTTTCACGATCAAATCCGCAAGACGGTAACGGGCTTGACGGTTAGTAGTCATGGCCATCACGAGAATGGAGAAGCGCACGAAGGTACGCCTTTAATAGGAAATGGCAATGGAAATGGAAATGGAAGTATTAGCCAGAACGGGCATGGACACGGACACAGCGACATGTGGGAGTTCTTATTCAATTCGCACTACACCCCAGGTGCCGACAATCCGAAGCCATGGGTGAAGTATCCAGCGCACGTATGGCACATCACTAAGGCCACTTTATTGAGCAGTACGTATCCATAAACCGCATATCGGCACGAAGGTAGGGATTGCCAATGTACTAAATTCGATTTTGATAGGTCCGGTCAATATTCTCCTCGTCGCCGTACCGATCGGTATTATCGCTGGTCAGACAGGATGGGACCCCGTCGCCGTCTTCGTCATAAACTTTTTCGCCATTATTCCTTTAGCCGCCGTATTGTCATTTGCGACCGAGGAAATATCCGCAAAGTTGGGCGAGGCTCTTGGTGGATTGCTCAACGCTACTTTCGGCAATGCGGTGGAGTTGATCGTAGGACGGCCCCCAACCCGCAATGACATGCATGATCTGTTTTATTGACTTACCTTCCCTGCAGGTTAGCATAATCGCATTAAGAGACAGACAGATAGAGGTCGTAAAGTCGTCCATGATTGGTTCGATCCTATCGAATCTACTCCTCGTCATGGGCATGTGCTTCTTCTTTGGTGGTATCGCCAACATGAGGGACGACGAGGGTCATGGTCAGGAACAAAGCTTCCAGACCATCACTGCCCAGACAACCGCTTCTTTGATGACCCTGTCTGCTGCTTCCATGATTCTCCCCGGAACCGTAAGTATTTTGTTTCTAATTATACGATCTTGGCGGAATTTAGTGCTAAGAATTTTAGTTATTCATGATTATCAACGATAGCGACAAAGGCGACGACGGCGAGCGCAACGATATCGTACTTTCACTCTCTCGCGGCACCGCTATTATTCTACTATTTCTCTACGTTTTATATCTATTTTTCCAGCTGAGAACGCATCATAAGCTCTTTAGCGCTGAGTCGGGTGTGATCGAGTCGGAATCGACACAGAACGAATCCCAGCTACCTGCAGAAGCTTCGGCTGCAAATGTGCGACCGGCAGTCCAGGATTCCTGCGAAGAGGAGGAAGTTCACATGAGCCCGTATTCCGCCGCCGCCGTCCTCATCGTCACAACTGTCCTGGTCTCTATCTGCGCCGACTATCTTGTAGAAAGCATCGATGCGCTAGTGGAACGCGCGCAAATTAGTCGAAGCTTCATCGGTCTTATTCTAATTCCGATCGTGGGCAATGCAGCGGAGCACGTTACTGCTGTCGTTGTAGCGGTTAAGAACAAGATGGATCTTGTAAGGGTTATTCTTAGAAATTCCACCGAGTCGCAACTAATAAGTTACACAGGCTATGGGAGTTGCTATCGGCTCCAGTATCCAGATCGCCCTGTTCGTAACGCCATTCCTCGTCGTCCTTGGATGGGTTATGGACAGAGAGATGGATCTTCATTTCGAGACTTGTGCGTATATCTAATTATGTCCTTTTCTCATTGTCCGTGCCGCTAATACAATATAGTTGAAACTGTGTCATTCGCATTGGCTGTGCTGGTCGTGATCTATACGGTTCAAGACGGAAAATCCAATTACCTTGAGGGCGCAATGGTAACGTCACCAATTTCTCCTTTTTCGAATAATGTTACTAATTTTGATTTAGTTGATGGCCCTCTACATCATCATCGCCTTAGCATTCTTCGTCACTCCTAGCCAATACTTTAACACTGACTGGGTTGTCGGTAAGCTGAGCAGTGTGGTTGGGTCGACATAAATACAAGGGTTCTCATTCGCATTCCACCCTTGATGGGCGGATAAGCTGCGCGCATGGGCGCGTAACGCTTCACGATTCTACGTTCGATTGCTCGACACTTTCCAATACCCCCTGGCATTGTGGCCGGAGTGTGCAGTGCTATCAACAGCACTTAATTTCATTTTTCCGAAGCAGTGTTCTTATTATAGACACTAGGTAGTCATTTCGGCGATTTTCTTTGTCTTCGTCAGTGTATAGTATAGTAAGTGGTGAGGGTCAGGTCGAAAAAAAGAAGTGCGTTATCCACTAGAAGTTTGGTGGTTTCTGCGGTAGTAGGGTTACAGAGCATAGGTACCTAGGTATATAGGGCTTTCATAAACGGAGCAATAGATGAGATGTATTTCTATTTACGAAGATTGTGCGTATTGTATATAGACATCTAACCTAACAAAATTAATGTTTTCTTGATCTTGGGTGAAAAGTGAATTCTACAGAGTACAGGTACACTAGATAGGTACTTGAGTACCTCTTGAGCCCGGTCACTCGGCCGACCCAAGGCTTCCAGGTCTCCAACTCGGGTGCGGGGCTTGGCGGGGTAGCTGCGATGAACGTCATTACCAAGCAAGATATTGTCTTTTATCAAGCAGATATAGATGTCTTTCAATTAGTGAAACCTGTCAATTCATGTCAATTCATATGTCGTGTCTCCGTACCTTCTATAGGATACCATATCGATCATCTATACTACGTCCATCTACGCGATTCACTGGTAGGCCGTTTCTCTTGTCCTTTTCGGCTAGCTGTTTGGGTTGGATGATGTAGTGGAACCTGACTCTATGAGTATAGGTGCTTGGCGCACATTCGCAACCATGGCGACGACTACGAACACTAATAACTATAAGTTCAACCACTCTATGTAAGACCACGACCTCATTATACTTATAAACTTATATAAATGAGAAGATTGCTTAACATAGCACGATAACCATAGGCTGAGAGTGAAGGACCCTAAAGCATCCGGTATAGTCTCACCTTAACCACATCTAACCAGGATGCACAGGACTAAACATGAGTATGTATCTATACAGTCAAGTTCTACGAATTCCTAGGCATGAGCCTAGTCAAACACCTCCAATTCCCGGAAGCAAAATTCGACCTCTACTTCCTGGGATACGACGGGCCGGCCGCGCACTCTCACGGGAACAGCACGTTCGACCGGCAAGGGCTCGTGGAGCTGACGCACAACTACGGCACGGAGGACGACCCGAACTACAAGATCAACAACGGCAACGCGGAGCCCCATCGTGGTTTCGGCCACGTGTGTATTTCCGTGGATCATATACAGGCCGCGTGTAAGAGGATCGAGGACGCCGGGTATAGGTTCCAGAAAAAACTCCAGGATGGACGGATGAAACATATTGCGTTTGTGTTGGACCCGGATGGGTATTGGGTTGAGGTTGTTAGTTTGAGGAGGGGGAGTAAGGGCGCGGAGGACCCCGAGGAGGAGGGGCGGGAGACGGATGTTGGGACGTATCGGATGGTGTGTTTTTCTCTCTCCTTCGTCTTTATATCGATAGTACAGGATTGTACGTGACCGTGGCGCTAACTCGAGCTCGCGATAGAACCACACGATGATCCGCGTCAAGGACGCCGAGAAGAGCCTTAAGTGGTACCAGGACGTCCTAGGCATGAGCCTGTTCCGCACCGTCGAGCAGCCCGCTGCTAAGTTCAACCTGTATTTCCTCGGGTATCCCGGGACAAAAGGTGTTCCTGAAGATGGGTTCACAGCTGATTATGAGGGGTTGTTGGAGCTGACGTGGAATTATGGGACGGAGAAGGACGAGTCGTTTAAGTATCATGATGGGAACGCGGAGCCCCAGGGCTTCGGACATATCTGTGAGTACCTAGTATCTGGCAATTTCTTGGGAGAGGGGCGGCAAGAATCGGAGCTAATAGAGGATAGGCGTTTCGGTCGATAATCTCGATGCGGCGTGTTCGAGGTTCGAGACGTTGAATGTTAACTGGAAGAAGAGGCTTACGGATGGTCGGATGAAGAATGTCGCGTTCTTGCTTGATCCTGATGGATACTGGGTTGAGGTCGTGCAGAACGAGCGCTTTACTAATCAGGAGAATTTCTAAAGTCGGTTATGGGATGTGATGGATAGGTAGGTAGGTAGGTACTTACCGAATTTATAATTTCGCGACAGGTAGTCCTATCAAAGAGACTTAAGGCGTGATGTTGGCTGCACTTAAGATGAACTAAAGAGCTAGCGAATATAGCAGAAGCCATGTCAGAGAAAGCTCAACGAATAGAATTGTAGACTTCGATGAATCGAGTGACAATTTAAGCGAAATAGAAATGATATATGGAGAGAGAAGGGTATATATGTAAGTTGGGGGTTATTTTCAAGATATTCACTCTACGCCACCGGCCAGCAAGGTCCTCACTTAATAAGCGTCTTACATCAACATATTTGTACGCCAACCCACACCTCTGCACCATTACTCATCGTCTCCTTGGATCCTAAGCCTCTCGGCCCGTTCCCTCTCCCTCTCTTTCTCCTTGAAAAACGCGAGTAGGCCTATGTCGTACGCGATCTTTAGACATCCCGATGCGACGAAGGATACCCAGAACAGGTTTCGATCAACCAGGAACCCGGTCAGGATTGGTCCTAGGCTCTGGGCTGTGGTTTTCACTACATTTACTGTGCCCATGACCGCCGTCCGCTCTCTGGGTAGCACGATGGTGGCCAGGAATGCGGAGCGGGGTCCGCTGTCCATAGATTGCGTACTGGAGTTGAGGACGAGGAAGACCAAAGCGAGGTGTAGATCGCTAGGGATACCGATGAGGGCGCGGAAGACTTGTGAGGGGAGGTGTGTGAATACCATTGTCTGATGGAGTGTTAATTGTATACTAAAATGGTAGTAATAGAGAGGTATGGGTTTCGACGTACGTTCACGTTACCAAACCTCTTAGCCAGAGAAGAGGCAACAATCATGGAAGCTCCAGCGAGTATCTGGGTGACGAAGAAGATCGAGCCTAGTTTCCCTTCTTCGATGTTGAACTGATATTTGAAATAATATGTGATCCATGATCTGACAATATTTAGCCGAAATCTTATAAAATCTGGTGGTCTATCACTTACAGTGGAGCTAGCCCAGATCCAAACGAGTCCAGGGCGAAGAGAAGGCACAGCGTGATAACCACGGGGACACTCTCTTTGCTGACGTCTGGGAGCAAATAACGCAGCCCGCGCTTAGGCGCAGGAGTAGACTCCGCATTGCTTTCCAGAAGCGGCCTTGTCTCGTCGTCTCTCTGGCGACGCTGGAGCTGCTTCTTCTCCGATTCCACAGAGTAGCTCAAGAGGACTGTTAAGGTAAGCTTCACTAGACCAAGGATCGCATATCCAACGTAAATAGCGCGATATGATCGAATGAAATCCCATTGGAGAGTTCCGGTAAGGTATTGAAGAATCCACCCGCAAACCATGCAGCCACATGCCGTACCTACAAGTCCCAAGAGACTGTACCAGGCATAGACGTCGCTTCGCTTCTTAGGATCGGTAAGCTGGGCAACAATGCTTTCTTCGATGGCCCGGAAGGGTCCGATCTCATTGCCGCTTTATGGGGATTCATGTTAGTACCTCGCAGATATATAGCAGTGTAAGTTGATTTCATACCTTGGACTGATGACACCAATGACAGCAGCAATTAGAAGCACCCAATACGTCCCAAACAACGCAAATACAACTCCGCTAGCGCTCATTAGAATGGCACCGAACGCAAGAATAGCCCTCCGACCCAACGCGTCGGCGAACAACGTGAGAAAGAAGCTGAGACAGGTATCGCCAACCAAGGTCAAAGTCATGAAGAGGCCAATCTCTGTCTTGCGGATCTCGAGAGCGTCCAGGTACGCGACCAAAATAAGTGTCGAGATTCCATACGCGAACATACGAACGAAGCGTTGAAGACATAGTAGCTTAACGTCTCGCGAGGAGGCATACATAGAGACAAGGCCGAGCTCCTCTAAGATTCGTTTGAGGAGGCCTTCTTTCTCCGGGGCGACCTCTGTGGCGTTTGGTAAAGACTCGTCCATGATTTCGATTGTTTTCTCAAATTCGATGAGCGAGGGAAAGTTCTCAAAGGGCAGAGAGAGGAAGAAATTTCGTTTAAAACCTGTTTGGATGGGACGATTCGAGCTATTCGTAGCTGGTGGAGTATAAAGCCGAGCTCGTCGGATATATCTTCAGACGAGGCGAGACTAGAGCTTAAGACGTAGTTAATACGAAGTCTTTCGAGATCTAGAAGGTTTTAGTTTATTTCATTTTCGTGAGTGATATAAGATGACAAGCTTGGAATTATAGGAAAGAACACATTATTAGTCATACTTGCTAGGTAACACAAAGTAGCTACTTCTAGGTGCTGAAATGTTGGTGACCTCGAGCTCGGAGTTAAGTTATTTTCTCGATTGGCCAATGAATAGCTTGCAATGGGCTACCCCACTGCGGGTACGGACTTGGTGGGGCAGGTACGTAAAGTGAAGCTATCGTGGGATGATCTAGCATCAATCCATATTGGACGAACGTATCTCGCGTAGAGGGCTGAGAGATGCGGTAGAAGCTCATGTTCCGCATTTGAATATATGTTTACTTGACCTAGATCAAAGTAGGGAATTTGGTATACTCGAACAGTCTCAGTTAGACGACGCAGGACCCCTCCTTCATACGCTTAGCGAGGTAATAAATGTGACCAGTATCAGTGAATACCTACCTTTCTAGAACCTAGGTGATAATAGACCATTATCTTAATGAGAGGATATTCGGACGTTTATAATCTCGGTCGTGAATCGTCGCAGAGTTGAGGTCGGTACATCTTCCTCACGTCACCACAAGCAGCGATGAGCGTAACGAAAATGCGCAATGCGATGTGGAAAAAAGACAGCAAAAATTACAAGAATCGAAATGCCAGAGGCATCGCCGAAAGGTAAGCAGCTCCACGATGTGCAATGCAGGCTACCCGCCTTACCCACGCGAATTCTTGAGCTCGCGTTGGTTTCTCAAGGTAAGTTTGACAAAATAGAAAGGAAGAATCAATTCCAGGATTGAGAGCTGGGGTTTTGTAGCTTCGATGTGGGGCTCTCGGGTAGAGTGGGGACATCCGTGATTACCTCAGCTAGGGTTACCGAGGCAGCGAGGGCAGTTGCTTTTCTTACCGGAGCAGATTGTTTCAAACTTCCAATGGTAAAGAGTTTATTGTACTTGACTAATTTGTGCGCCTATCGTATCTAATTCCCTCGTGCAAATAATAATAGCACGACTATCCGAGAAATACTACGACTTAAACCTAGAGCCTGTACCTAAAATGCTTATTCTGCTTGTCCGTTAAATCGTCAAAACCCTCCAACAGCTCTTCCTCTACCTCGACATGTTGGCCCAATTTGTCGCGCTGTCGGTTATCAACCCAACACCAGAGAGTGTACAACCCTTGGAGTGCGATCGCAGCACAATACGTGCCGAGTAACCCCTTGATCGCCGTTGGATATCTCGGTACTTCGCTGGATAGAAAGAGGTGCGGGCCAATAATGCTAAATTTATTATGGTTAGTCGATGCCATCGTATCATAGATCTCTGCACTTCTGCGGCTGAACTTACTTTCCGACGACGAAGCAGAAAAAATAGATACCCATAACAACACTTCTCTTAGTATGCCCAGCTATGTTGAGCCCGGGTACTGTCCAATTCAGTATAATAGGCGAGCCAACTACATTCTGCAGCCAGCACATAGCAACAAGCGCATACCGGTGCTCGATGCCAATAGTCAGGATACCGATGAGTCCAGCCATACCAGGTAAGCAACCGACCATAATCGAGATACCGACCATGTTAGGAAGTTGCGAGAGTCGTCCTATCAAAAGACAGAAGATGATTTCGAACCCTCCTCCGGGAGCTTGAAGCAAAGATGCCCTAAGTGCGTCAAAATTAAAGCCCTTGATGATAGACGACATGAAGTTGGTCACAGCGCCATTGAGTAGCCCTAGTGCTATTGATGTCATCCATAATAAGTAACATTTCCCATCTAATACGGCCTCTTTAATCTGGTATGGTCTGATTGTCGAATCCTTTAGACCGATCTGGTTTTCGGAGACGCGCCAAACAGCAACGACACGTTCGTACTCCGTTAACATCTTCGCGTTATGCGGTCCGTCGGGAAGGTAAAGTATGATAACGAAGCCCCATATGAAGGTAAGGGTGCCGACGATCTGCACATATCTTCGGTTAGCTCCTGTTATAGTATTAGAAATTCGAAGGGGGAGACTTACCAAGAAGATCAGCTTCCATTGAGCTATCGATAATCCTTCAGCTGAGCCCGAAGCATAAGCCAAAAGCGACCCTAGGATATTTGAGACACCATTCGTGCACAGCCAAATGGAGCTACGCATCGTCTGCTCCTTTCTCGTCCAAAGCATCGAAGTTAGGAGAACCCATGCAGGTGAGATACAGGCCTCGAGCAGGCCTAAAAAGAAGCGAACGGCAAAAAAGCCACTGAAATTGAACACAGTGGCTTGCAGCATGCACACGATTCCCCAGACGAACAGCATACTGCCCACTAATTTCCCAATGGCAATGCGCTGTAGCAACATATTCCACGGCCAAGCTCCGCAGAGCCAGCCAAAGTACAATGCGGAAGCAACCCACGAGTAATCATCGCCCGTCATTTTTGTATCGTGCTGCAAACCGTATGCATTGGAGTAGTTCAGACTAGAAATCATCAGTACCAGAGCCCACCACGAACGAATAATAGGGCGAACCGTACGTTTGCTTATCGAGGAACGACAACATATATGTGGTCATCATCTTCGCGAAACAGTTTCTGTTAGAATCAAATCTTGCTAAATAAGGAGTATTGGCTTCGATCGACATACCATTGGAAGCACCAGAAGATCTAGCTTCCATCGAACTTTAACGGCGTCTGCTTCAAGTTGGGCTCTATCATATTGAAGCGACTCCTGTAGCATATCTTTACCCAGCTGATTGAGATCATTTCGCCGGTGGATTAGACGCTGTAGTGCATTTTGTTTTGGTAAGTCGAGGCCAGTTCCATGCTCGATGTCAACTGGGCTCTTAGCGACCGAGGCCTCATTCTTCTCGGATATTTTCGAATCCATTTTGAGAACAAATCTCAAAAGAAAAAGATACTCTCACAAGCTGGCGAACAATGAGGAGCATGTTAAATGCTACTCCTCACTATCCTGGTCCCACGTGAGTGAGCTCATGTTGACTTCTCGTACTGGAGATCCTGATAGCTAATACGCATGCATGATAAGATCCTTGCTATACTATACCTATTGGTTAAGACATGGGCGTCATGTCGCTACTTTATCGAGCCTATCAACTTCGCGTGGAGAATCATCGTACATTACCTGGGCTGGTAATTACCTACTCACCGAATAAACCTGGAGTCTATCCAACTAACCTTTCACATCTCTATAACATCCCAACACTAGCTTAATAGTAATTCAAGTTTGAATTTCTAGATGATGGTAATCTGCGAGGCTGCAATTCATCAGATAGGCAGTATCCGATCCCGCCAACGATAAGAGGGGCAAAACAAGTTAAAGGAGGATTTCTTGGGGCTTCTTGGTATCATAGATTATCTGATAATCTAGCATATAGTGGATCCAGTAAGAGCAGGGCTCAGCTATACAGGTGATGATAGGTTCATTATACCCCTTGTTAAGCCCCCTCTCAGCTCCAATCCTTCGGATATTCACGCCGATGAATACCCCACACTTCCGAGATGGAGGTATCATTTCTCAAGGTTACGCCGTAGGCCTTCGTGAGGGGCCACGCCTATTTGAACATACGTTTACTTAATACTTTCATCGATATGTCTATCTTCGACGTAGTAGATGCACTAGAGTTTGAAAATGGGTGACAGCAACATTCCAGCAACCAGGAAGTCCTGGAAAGAACTACAAGCGGCGAAGTACGCAGAGAGAGACTCGAGGATTCCAGCAGAATGGAAATTGAAGGAAGAGGACTTCCCGCCAGAGGATACAGTCGACCTTCGCCCTTTTGTCAGTTCGGGCGGGATCTTGTCTCCAGCAGAACTGGCTATCACCAGCGAAGAGTATGATGCGACGTCGCTAGCCGCTGCCATTGCTGAGGGCAAATTCACGGCTTTAGAGGTTGTGACGGCATTTTGCAAGCGTGCCGCAGTAGGACATCAGCTATGCAACATGCTCACGGAGATCATGTTCGCGGATGCGCTAGAAAGGGCCAAGGAGCTAGACGACATTTTCAAAAGCACAGGGAAAGTCGTCGGTCCGTTGCATGGGGTTCCGATGACCTTCAAGGAGTGCTTTCACTTCAAGGGGTATGATTCGACTAACGGATACATGTCTCGAGTCTTCCAGCCGGCCGACCGCACGTCGCCACTACCGGAGCTCATGCAAGCCGCGGGAGCAGTAGTCATTTCTAAGACAAATGTACCGCAGACTATGTTAGTCGCAGAGAATGACAACAATGTTTATGGACGCTCTAAGAACCCCGTGAACTCTCGTCTGACGAGTGGAGGCAGTAGTGGGGGTGAAGGCTCAAGCCAGGCTTTTCGATGCAGCGCCCTTGGTGTCGGCACCGATGTTGGGGGATCAGTACGAATACCGGCCGCTTGTAATGGTGTCTATGGTTATAAGCCTAGCTTCGGAGTCATTCCTATGATCGGCTACTCTTATTCCGGCTGGACGGGATCCAACACAGGAATCCCGGCCGTCACCGGTCCCCTAGGACATTCGGTGCGCGACCTCGATCTTTTCACCAACATAGTTAGAGCCGCAAAGCCTTGGTCCTTTGACCCTGCGGTGATACCGAATATCATGGAGATTGAAACCGTGTCGCGGAAGCCTGTCATCGGCGTCATCTATGAGTCTGGACTGACCCCTCACCCGCCAGTGCGCCGGGCTATGCGAGAAGCTGTTTCCAAGCTAAAAGCTGCTGGGTTCGAAATCAAAGAATTCAACCCGCCGGATTTCATTGGCATCCGCGATATATCCGAGCAGTTGTTCACCCTTGACGGACTCTCGTACCCAAAGCAAGAATTTGCCAAGTCGGACGAGCCCGTGGTCCCAAGTGTCATGAAGATCGGGTTCTGGGATATCCCCCCTAAAACTCAAGAGGAGGCATGGATGTGGAATACGAAGAAAGGGCAGATCCAGAAAGATATGTTGGACGAGTGGCAGCGAGTTGGCTGTGATGTCATTCTGGCGCCCGCCGGTCCTCACACGGCCGTATTGCCCGGCGATTGGACCAGCGACATCTATACAGTGGCTTGGAACGTGTGTGATGTATGAACCCTCTAACGCACTGAGTTACTTGACCGACGATCTAACGTTGTATTTTTTAGTATCCTGCCATTATTGTGCCCTTTACTCACGCCGATCCGACTCTCGACCCGGCGGACGCCGAATTCAAGCCTAAGCACGAAGCGGACCAGAAGAATCAAGATATGTGTATGTAAAGCTCTAACGTATGATTTCGTGAGTTGGCAGCTAACATTTGATGTCCTAGATGACCCGGAACTTTTCAAAGGAGCGCCGGTGGCTTTGCAGATAGTTGGACCAAGACTTGGCGATAAGCAGCTACTCAAAGATGTTGAATTGCTTGACAGTGTTCTAAACGGCACTGTTTAGCGTCTGCCTAGTTGTTTGCTAAGCCTTCCAGGTTACATATGTACCTATCTAAGTACCTAATCAGCAACACGTACCAATTCCGCGAGGATCTCCCTAAAATTCGCCGGAGAGTGAGTACCTAGCCCTTGGTAGTCTAGTTGGTTATGGCGTTCGACTGTAATTGTAATCCGATCTCATGGTCCACGATTGTTTATCGAAAAGTCACCGGTTCGATTCCGGTCCGAGGGAATTATTTTTTCCTATTTCTTCATCCCTTTTTAGTTCGTGTTCCGTTTGTGTGTAGCTGAGCGACGCTGTGATACTGGGCTAGGGCTTAAGCTTCTTTTTAGTCCCGTGAATGGCGCCCTATTTTCATCCAATCAGGAGCTCCACGTACCTCAGCTTGGTTTCAGGACCTATTCGTACGTAAAACTAGCAGTTTGCGGAGGGCGGACGGTTGCAACGTACCATCGAGATATGTCTGACTACCTAACTACGGCAGACACGACAACCACGTCGATGCAAGGCTATGTGAGACTCGTATGGTCATTGAGAGAACCAGACAATTCGTTGTCAGTTTCTATGCGTCCTGATCGATAAATCCAACCAACGGATACTTCTTCGAGACTTGATTGCATTTAGCCGGGACCCTCCACTGGACATTTGTGCCTATCAAAGCACGACAGGCACCTTCCGACCCCTTACATTAGCTGAAAAGCTTCGTATTCTTCAATCCAGGAAGTCGGGAAGGAGAACAACAGAGATAACTCTATTTTTATCGTCCGGTGCTACTCTGTTGCCCAACGTTACGCAGTGGCATGATGGCGCCTTTCTCGTGCGTATACGGGCTTTGAAAGCTCTACTTCGGGGCGCTGTGAAGTCGTACTTAAAGACCCGGCACGGGAGCCTGCAGTTTCTCGATACGACTCAGCCATCGCATCAGCTCTTCATCTAAACACGATAATCCCCAGCCGGTTCCGAATTCGTCTCTGCTGGATATAGACATACATACGCAGGAACGCCATCATGCAGTTCAAAGCCAGCCTAGCAACCCTCGCCCTCACGACCGGCCTCACGGCCGCGTACGACCCCACCCCGTTCGTCAGTCCCCTGCAGCCGTGGCAGATCCCGCGTTTCACAATCTCGCTGCCGCCTAACAAGCTCGGCGCCGCGGGCTACGCTACCATCAAGCTCGCCGTCAGCAACCCGAACCAAGTATCCGCGGGCCCGGCCCCGCACGCAGCAGGCGGCGGGTACTTACCCTTCGCGCCCAGCGCGGCGAACTGCACCTCCACAGGCCACGACACGCCGGCGGCAATGAACGGGTCCTGCGTCGAGACCTCGCAGGACTCGTACGGGGTGTGGCAGGTTGGCGTGATCAGCACGGACGCCACGGCCGCGATTGATCCAAGGGACGTGCAGGTCCGGCTTACGCTGACGTATAATGTGACGCGCTGGAACGCGGTGTGGTTCAAGGTGTACCAGGCCACGGCGCGGTTCTCGCTCGATGAGAATTTGGTCCTGGGCGAGTGTGCGGATCATGATAGACATTGCTCGTATGAGCTTAATCCTGATTTGGCGCCGTTGGAGGTGGAGCCGGAGATGGTGGATTGTCGGGGGACTTGCTCTAATGATCCTTAGGGGTTGGAGAGGGTGTTTTTGGGAGTGTTTAGGATGATGAGGCTAAGGGGTAAGGGTTAGGTTTAGTAGAATGGGGATGGGGATGTTTCTTACAGTAGGTGGATTTTAGAGGACTTTCTTCGCAGTCATTCTCTCTGCTCTTGTTAAGATGAAAAGATGAAGATCCGTGGATTTTTCAATTCGGGGGACGTACATATTAGTTAGATTATCTCATTATAGAATGGGGTTATGAGGTTGATGAATAGGGGCTATGTGATTACGCGACTCTATCGTTACCTATACTACGATTTTATGATTCTTAGGAAGTACTATCATGATAGGTATAGAATCTAAGCAAACTCATTTTACACTGAACACTAGGTAGGTACCTAGGTAACTTCGATATTTGATCTTCATTTGAAGAGATGATAATAGTTGGATACCAAAATTTTTGCTCCTGTAGCGGTTCAACGACACCTCTGATATAAGACTAGAGATATGGCGCATGGGAATTTGAAGAAATAACGGCCCCTTTTCCTACTACTACCTAGGTAATGTATAGCAGACATGTCTATTATGCCCGACGAACTAGAACTTAACTCGCCGAAGAAGCCCCTTCATCAAAGAATAGTTCACGAGATTTAATAAATTTCTTGAGTCTTATTCATGTATTTTGTTACATATTTACGTGTCGTAACTCAGTAACTACTCCTAGTAGAGCACACGCGACAAGCCTAAAATAAGCGCGCAACTCCGCGCAATGTATCTCTTTCAAATTGCGGCAATTGACGTAAAATACAAATATAGAAGTCCCTGCAACCTTATAGACGCGAATACGCGAGGGTAAAGATAGAATAAAGTAATCGGCGTTTAATTTGTAAGGAAAAGTGCACGACCTACATATTAGAGATGAATTTGATAGTCTACCGACAGCTCTGGAATGCGATCGGTGAGCTGTATATCACATGGGATAACCTAAGCGAGCGTGTATCCGGACCGTAAGCTCACCTTATTCGCGGCTTGGGAAAATACGGGAGAATGAAATTGCATCCGGTGGGTTTCACGACATGACGCGCGTTAAGGGAAGTTGGGCGGCACAACGTTGGAAACTAACCTTAGTATAAGAGATCTTGGATTTCAAACGATGCGACCACCGAGGTATGTAAGTATATAGGTGGTGAAGCAAAAGGACCGGGCAGCGGAATGGGTTGAAATCAGGCTATGAGGAAGAAAAGGGGAATCCGGACGAGGAGATTCCCAAGGTGGTGGAACGATCAAGCCGATGCTACATGTACCTTTATACGTTGATGTAATTATACATGTATTTGTACATGTACATACGCACCTTCCAATAGAAGGCGCCTGTTGTGAACCCTTAAGTTCAAGGTTGACCCTTAAAAATGTTATGTATGCGAGATCGGATTTGTTAAAGTCTATCATCACTCAAGCCCTTATCCGATACCTAGTCCCTATTTAGGTAGGTACTAGATAAGTACTTAGATACCTGAGGAAACTCCGATCAATTCAAGGTTCTATCAATCTGCGACATCGATAGAAAAAATGTAAATCGTAATTTGCACGTGGTCAACGTTTTCTTCTTTTTGGGCGGTAAAATCGCATTCGAAATGGGAAGGAAGCAGATTCAACATCTGCCGAGTTCCAATTCCCATCTTTGTATCGTCCCCACTTCGCAAAACCTGTCGATGGCTCGATTAGGTTAATGCTCAAGAGCCACTTTTTGATTCCTTTCGTCATTAGAATTCGGCAGTTTGAAAGCCCCATTATGCCATACTATCGTCACCAATGCCAAATTCCAAACGCCTGGTCTCCTCTGCCAGATCTTCCTCGGTGGTGGTCTAGATCCGTTTCGGCTTGCATTTTTGGGTGGCATATACTACAACCAACCATGCAGCAACCTCACCTAGAGAGACACCTGGGATGGAATTGGAAATCCAACCTCAACTGGTTCAACTGGTTCAACAGCCTCTGTTGGTCTAAGAATAACGATATTCTCGTCGGTGGTACAAAAAGTTATTCGCCGTGTTGATCTTCGATAGGTCATCTGCAACTAACCCCTATGCCATATGCCGAAACTTTTTGTCGAGATCCGACACTGTCACCGTGACCTTTGAGCTAATCATCATCTTTTGTTCGTCCCAGGTGAGAGCCGCATTGACCCCCGACCGGTCCTAAGGTTGCTTAGTTGCTTACCTAGTAGGTACTTTGCCGCCACAATTGGACGAGGCTACTCGGCTCCTCTGAATGTATGTCGTACCTATTGTCGACAAGGCAACTTCCAAGGTTACGGGATAATTTATACGCCTTGGTGTTTGAGCGGGAAGCACGTTCCCGAGAAGGGCTACCGTGTCACCAGCGACGCCCTGCAAACCCAACTACACCGGTTGATCATAACGGCTGTGACCCGAAATATGGCATATTCCCCGAATCGTGGTATCGTGTTCGTGTCTGACTATACCTGCCAAACCATTGGACTATCCATCTGCCGAAATCACATCTTATACTGCCCGAAGTCTAAAATCGAGCTATTCACATGTCCTCTAACTTGGCGGTCATGGGTTTCCCTATCAATTCTCCTTATTTCAGCACTAAAACCAGGCACTTCGTCTGTTGGCGGAGCCAACGGCCCCCCTTTTCCCCATCGGTGGGTCGGCGGGGACCCCAGAGGCTTGGGATCCCTGATAGCCTAGCTGGCTATGAGCGGGATCTCTGAGCGCCTATGGACGAATCTCAGAAGAGCTACAACTCGAAGAAGAGCTGGCCTGGCACTCTGAATTGCCGTTACAAGCGTAACGGTCCTTTTGTATTTCATATTAAGTACAAGTGTACCTTAATTCTATCTCTTGCCTGCCGCCATCCTAGCCAAATGTGCCAGACCTAGGTACCGGAGACATATCTCTCGCCAGAACATTATTAGGGAACGCCGAGTTGCCTGCGGGATAACCGACAAATAGGTTCACATATATACCCACCTTGGCACGCGTTGTCAGCAGTTCCTAATACTCGGCTTGCGGCGCTTCTACTTCTAATCTTCTCGAAAGACTGTAGGGTTTTTGGGTTACTTCTGCTCGCTGTATTTCTGAAGTCGGTGGCCCTCGATCTCGACGGCCAAGATAGCCCAGGGGTTTCAACAACCTTGTGGCGTTTTGCTTACAGATTTCCTATCGTCTTTAGGAAACCGGGGAATCCCCAATTACAAATCCCATTCAAGCTCGAGACCATTGAATAAGAGCAAATGATAGCTCGAGGCAATGTTGAGTCTTGAACATTCCGTGGTTGGGAGCTTCATAGCCCACTTCTGGCTGCCCATAGCAATATCAGTAATTGTTACGTGGCTAGTTAGAAATCGATACCATAATGGTCTGAACAAGTATCCAGGTCCTTTTCTGGCTTCATTGACAGATCTGTGGCGATTATGGGATGTCTACGGACAGCGACCTGACATAACACATCGGAGGTTACATGCGAAGTATGGTGACATCGTTCGCTTAGGCCCTAATACTTTGTCCTTTGCAAACCCAAAGGCCCTCAAATCGATTTACGGTCTTAATAAGGGATTCGTCAAGGTGAGGACCCTAAAGATGTTTCCCCGGTGAAGATAACTAACGCCACTTGTTTAGTCCGATTTCTATGTTGTTCAACAGTCGGTAGTCAAGGGAGACTCGCTCGCTTCGCTTTTCAGCACGACAGACAATGGATTTCACGCACAATTCAGACGATGCGTCAATTCGGCTTTTGCTATGTCTGCTCTCGTCCAATACGAGCCTTTTGTGGATAACACGACCAAACTATTTCTCAAGCAGACGGAAACACTATTTGCTGGAAACCCGCAAGGATGTAATTTCACTCAATGGCTACAGTTCTACGCGTTCGACGTAATCGGAGAGATTACTTATAGCAAGCGCCATGGGTTCGTCGAGAAGAATGAAGACATTGATGGAATAGTAGGATACTTGGGAAACCTGTTCCTCTATGTTGCACCGGTATGCTAGGTACTCGAATACGGAAATGTGAGAAGAAGCTAATATGCCTAACAAGATCGGTCAAATCCCGTGGCTCGACCGCGTTTTCCTCAAGAACCCCATCTACCTTAAACTCTCTCAATGGGGATTTATCGATGCAACATTTCCGGTAGCGCGTTTTGCACGAGCTCGCATGGCTGAGCGTTTGGGTCCTAATCTTACAGGTGACCCCTCTAAGCCTCTTCTTCCGGTATCCACGGAAGGCAAAGCCGAGCCTAAGTCACCCGACCTATTATCGAAATTCCTTGCTGCGCGCGATGTCCGACCCGAATTCATGAGCGATACCCTAGTGCAGACAATGGCTGTATCTATGGCATTTGCTGGATCTGAAACTACAGCTATCTCATTAGCAAGCGTCTTCTATTATCTGCTGCGCAACCCATCTACACTTACGAAATTGAAAAAGGAGCTTGACCAAGCTTCTCTGTCTGGTTTATTCAGCGATTATGAGACCGGCCTCGTAACTTGGACGGAAAGTCAGAAGCTACCGTATCTTGACGCTTGTATTAAGGAGGCGTTCCGACTACACCCAGCCGCAGGTCTACCGCTCGAGCGTATCGTACCCGAGCCAGGTGCCGAAATCGCAGGCCAATACATCAAAGGCGGAACTATCGTCGGATGCTCGGCATGGATCATCCATCGCCGCCCTGAAATCTGGGGTGACGATGTTGACGAATTTCGGCCGGAGAGGTGGCTTGTTGACGAGAAGCTCAATAGTGAAGAGAAGAACGAACAAGAACGGCGCGTTCGCGAGATGAATGGCATGATGTTCCAATTCGGCATGGGAGCTCGCACGTGCATCGGAAAGAACATCAGTCTGCTGGAAATATACAAGGTCATTCCCAGCCTGCTTCGGCGGTTTGACGTAAGTACTAACTTTTTCTTACCTATTTCGAGATATGATTAATGCTCACCGACACTCCCACAGATCCGCTTCAAAGACCCAAATCAAGAGTGGAAGCTTATCAACGCTTGGTTCGTCAAGCAATCCAACTTCCAGACTATGTTCGAATTACGCGACTTGGTGAAGCCCGCGGATAGCGAAAAACTGGCCACAGCGTAACCGGTGTCGTTAAAAGGGAGTTGACAAGTAGGCGGTGATATTGGAGCTAATTGCTATATAAATAGGTAATGTATTCTCCGTACATACATACATGTGCGTCATCATGTCCAGGGGCTGGCAAGTACCTTCGTAATGGGATTATCAAATTTTAGACATCCATGTTTCTGATCGATCGCGTCGATACGGGTATAATAATGTTCTACTTAGACTTTGCGAATCGCCGTATAGAATTGGTTAGACGTAGTAGCATCACAAGAACACATCTCTCATTTGGCACTGAACTGTCGCGTTGCTCCTCAAGGCCGGTGGTTAGTTGTGTAGGTAGGTAGGTAGAGAAAAAAGGGGTATCGTCCATTTCAACTTCGACTAAACAAGAACTACTACACTTATCCACGTAGTTCTTGATAAAGAGAAAAAATAAAGAAAGCAAATAGAATCCCCCCCTAAAAATTACGTTGCCGCGGCTCTTTACATACAACTTCCCCTCTCTCGTACATTCCGCGGTCCACGAGACGGCGGACAGGGAAAAGAATGTCGCGCCGTCTACTAGCTACCAACATATAGGCAGGTAGGTCTGGACCGATCCCCTCTCCCCTCAAAAATATGTTCATTACAAAGCGTGTCAGGTTTCCGAAATATAGAACAAATTCCCAATAACAGCGTGAGCTGGCTCTTGCCTGTGATGATAGGCAAGAGCGCAGATGGGGGCGAAAGAAGGTGGCGTGTCCGAATTGCGCGTTGCTGCCCGTAAAGAGAATAACCATTGCCGTCTTAAGCGTAAACCGTGAGCTCGGATGAGTCAGATTAAGTCGGCGCGTTCAACCTCTCGTGAGAAGAAGGGTAAGGCTCGTAGTCGGTCATACTGAATAGTATCGAAAGGCGTAGCGAGAGTCAAACTCCAAAGACTAATGAGGAAATGATCGTTACGAATAATCGACGTAATTTCAGCCCGAGTTCTGAGGTACCCCGTGAACTTCAGTCATTGACTGGAGCATGCTGTATTTTGGTTTAGCCTTTTCGTTCATTCGACGCAGCAAGATCCTCTCTGTAATCTATGAGATGGAGGATATACATACCGCAAGTTCCGTTCTTTCATTTCGTCATCGATGGCCCTTAAGCCCTTAAGAGATAAATTAACTTGTGCCAGCTGTCATCAAAAACCAATTAGTTGTCGTTCTGTAAATAACTGGGAGATATATGGAAGCGTAGGAGTAAAGGGGTGTGTGTTGCGACTAGCAAGCAAGAACAATTTATAGGGTTCTGCGCACCGCGCTTATCGCAGCCGATGAATGGTCAGGCTCTTGCTCCTCACCTGCTGCGGTAGCCTCTGAGTCGGTAACACTCTCGTCTGCTCCGTTCTCGCCGTCGGCGAATCTGCTTGCCGACAGACCCTTCTTTGCTGGCGCTAGGGCCGCCTTGGCCTACTATTCAATTAGCACATCGTCTTAAAAATGGATATGGCATATTCTTAGAATGATGAACATACCAGTGCTTCGGCAATTTCTGCATCCTTGACCTTCAACTGGGCCTCCATCTCAGCAAATCGTGACTTGATGTCGGATGCTTCTTTCTCAGCTGCTGCCCTCTTCTTCTGCTCTTCTTCGGCTATGGTTGACAAGTTGTCGTACATGTCATTGTAGTCGGCTACCTGATTCTTCAGTTTAGCCTCTACGTCATTCTTGTGCGCTTCAAGGTCTTTCTGCGCGATGAGAGTATCCTGCTTAGCTGCCTCTAACTGCTGCTTCAACGACTCAAAGCTAGCCTTAGCGGCATCGTGGTCCTTCTGGAGTAACTCGAGATCACCTGCAGACTTTGTAGATGCCTCTTTGGCAGCTGCTAGTTCTTCGGCATGAGATTTCTTGAGTCCTTCGAGTTCTGCTTTCAATGCATCCACAGCAGACGTATCTGCTCTTTGACTCTTCACAGCATCGAGGTCGGCCATGAGTTCCACATTGTTCATCTTCGCCTCCGCAAGCTTTTGGTGCAAGTCATCAGACTCTGCCTGAACCTTATCAAGATCAGCAGCCTTCGCCTTAGCGTCTGTCAATTCGGCTTCGAGAGCTGCGGCTTGTTCCTCGGCCTTAGCCAAAGCCTCCTTCACAGCCACCAATGCAGTCTCATTTTCTGTCACGGAAGCTAGGTGCTTAGATGCTTCAGAAGTTGCCGCGGAGAGTTTCGCCTCGTGCTCTTTTGTCAACTCCTCGATAGCTTGAGCATGCTTTGCTCCAAGAGCCTCAATAGCCTCCTTGTGGGAGCCCGATGCATCGTTCTTCGCAGCTTCCACGGCCTCGGATTGCATCGTGATCAATTTCTCGATCTCGGCAGAGTGCGCATCGTCGTATTCCTTCTTGAAAGCCTCGAGGGCAGCGGCGTGGTTCGCATTGGCTTTCTCTAGTGATGCCTGCGCTTCCTCAACTGCTGTCTTCAATGTTTCTAATTGGGTTACGTAAGCGCTTCCATCAGCCTCCTTAGTAGCAAGCTCCTGGGCATGAGTGGCTTTGGTCTTCTCTAGTTCTTTGTGTGCTTCCTCGAGGGACTCCTTCAGCGCTTCTAACTGAGCAGTGTAGGCACTGGTGTCAGCGTCCTTCGCGGCAAGTTCCTCAGCATGGCTAGACTTGGCTTTCTCTAATTGAGCATGCGCATCCTCAACGGCGGCTTTCAGAACCTCCAGCTGAGCAGCGTGAGCGCTACCATCCGCTTCCTGTTCGGAAAGGTCTTGCGCGTGCTTAGTCTTCAGCTCAGCAAGTAAAGTATCCGAGTCTAGCTTCTGAGTATCAAGGGCTGCGGCATGGGCCGTCTTCAGAGCCTCTAACTCCTTCGCAAGGGCAGCTGCACTCTCGCTCTTGGATATCTCAATCTGTTCAGCGTGACTAGTCTTGAGAGCCTCGAGCTCAGCTAGGTGTGCTTCCTTGTCAGCAGAGGCGCCACTCTTAGCACCTTCGAGATCCATAGCATGGCTGGCCTGCAATGCATCAAGTGCTTTTTGGTGTTCATCCTCCTTCGCGGAAAGGGCGGCAACAGCTGCTGTATGTTCGGCCTTCGCCGCCTCCAGTTCCGTTGTATGAGCTTCAACGGCTGTCGAATGTGTGCTAGTCAATTCGTCATATTTTGTCTTTAGGTCGGTATGCTCCTCTTCGAGGACATGGAACTTGCGCTTGAAAAAGGCGTCGCCCTTGAGGCTCTCGATCTCGGTCTCGTAATCTTGGGACACTTGCTTTAGTTGGTTTTCATGCGTCTCCTCCGAGACCTTGTGGTCTTGCTTTAACTTCTCATATTTATCCTCCCACTCCTTAAGTTGTGTGGCTAGATCTGCGCTGGATGACATGTTTTCTTTGGCTTGGCCGAGTTCTTCCTGCAAGTTAGCGAAGTCGGACTTGACCTTAGCTAATTCCTCCTTTGTGGCATCCGCAGCGGCAATAGACTCCGTCAGCTTCGCCTTGACTTCTTCTAGTTCGGCTTGGGAAGTCGCCAACGCTGCTTTATCTTGTTCGGCAGCAGCCTTCAATTCGGCCAGTTCAGCCTCTAACGTGGCGATCTTGGAAGCGCTCGCAGCGCCTTCGTTCTGAGTCGACGATGTCAATTCGTCGATCTTGCTTTGCAGCAATTCGTTAGCTGCTTTGAGTTCTCCGAGGACCTTGTCATGCTCGCTCGAAGTGGCTTTGCTTCCGTCGAGTTCCGCCGCATGCGAAGTCTTCAGAGCTTCAACAGCGGCTTGATGTTGCTCGTCCAAAGACTTCCGAAGTTCTGCCAATGCTGCATCGTGCTCCTCGGATGCCTTGGTCAGAGTGCTCTTGTCAAGCTGGAGAGACTCAAGCTTGCTCTGAAGGCTGCTGATTTCAGTCTCCTTGGCGTCTTGTGAGCTAGTCAAATCAGTCAATTTTGTCTTGTGAGCCTCAAGCTGCTCCTCGGCAGTCTTAAGCTTATCAAGAGCTTCGGAGATCTGTGTACCCAGTGCCTCCTTTTCGGATGCATGAGTAGACCTCAAAGTCTCCAACAACTCTTCGTGTCCTTGTCGTAGGGCATCTTCGGCGCCTTGGACACCATTCGCCTCGGACTTGATCTTTTCTTCGAACTCCGCTACCTTGGCTTGAGAGGAAGCAACTTGCTCCTTCAATGACTCAACTTCTGCCTCTTTCTCAGCAAGCTTCGCCTTTAAATCTTCAACATCCTTTGCCGCCGTGGAAGAGATTATGGAAGAGGTAGAAGGGCGCGCTATATGCCTCGTCGGGCCTGATGGGGAGCCAGTAACGTTGGATACCCGTTTCTTTGGCTCAATTGTAGATCCGGCGACTCCGGGTCGGGAAATCGTCGAGGTCCGTGTTGACGACGTGGTACCAGTCGATGGTTTTGTGAGCGAACCGGATCTTCCAGCTAAAGTGCTACTTGCTGGCGAAGGCTTCCTTGCGGTAGCAGCGCTGGAAACGGTTGGTCTTGTGGCAGACTTGCCAGGAGATGATGTGAGGCTACTAGGTACCGTTGAGGTTCGACGCGCCGCAGAAGTCATACTAGGCTTCTTCTTCTCGTCTTCCGAGATGGACGGCTGGGCCCTATGGGTCGCGGTAGTGCCAACGGGCTTCTTGACAGTAGCCCCGGAAGGGGGGCGGGCTGGGGGCTTGCTCAAACCGCCAGTAGCAGCACGAGCAGCCGAACTTGCGGTTGTCTTGGAAGCGATCCCAGGAGTTGTTCCCAGACGACGAGTAGTAGTAGCAGTTCCCGCCGGGCGCTTCACCGGCGCAGCACCTTCAGTTTTAGATCCATTGCTAGATTTAACTGAAGACTTAGGCGAAGATTCGGTCGCGCCAGTGCCGGCGGTTCCGGTAGTCTCTTCGCCTGAGAGGATGGATTCTTCATGCTGGACAACTTCGAATCCCTCGTTGTCGGACATGATTTCAGTATTTACACGGTAGAAAGCTATGTTAATCGAGAAAAAAAAAAGTGGTATCGGTCGGCTTTCAAGTGGTCCTAAATCGAAAAACCCTCAAATAAGACTAATAATACAGATTCTATTAGCTTGATTGGACCGACAGTTTGGGATTGTCGAATACGCAATTGAAAGTTGCAAATGCGGAGATATGACGACTAAGATGCTTGGATGCTTAAAGCATAGATTCGCATTGACCAAGGAATCCATTAAGACCGCGATCAACTATAATTCGCGGCATCGACTCTCGACACGTCACAAAAGGGAGGGGGTTGATTCAAGCGTGGTTGGTTGGTGGGCTGAATCGGGTATTGACTGACCTACCTTTGCGAACCTCCTTTTTTTCTGGCCCTTCAAGTTCCTTGCCTCGATATCAATTAAGCGCCACAGAATATTAGTAGCCAGTGAGGTATATGTAACGTCCGTTCGTACCCGGCGCAAGTGTTGACAGTCTGACAGCTGACGAAAGAACCTAGAAATCAAGCAATCGTAACGGTCGAAGTAAAGAGCGAGTATGACCTGTTTACAACAACGGGATAGCTAATTCCAGATCCTTCGTGGTGGTGAGCTTGACGGAAGTTAAGAATTAAAGATATCGAATGGGGGCGGGTTAAAAAAGGTTGAAAAGGGAACAACCTACCTTAGGTACATATGTACTTCCGAGATTTTAGATTTTTTAACTTTAACAGTCCAAGACCGCCACAAAAGTCCGACCTCCTCATTGGCTGAGAGCTGTCTAAGCACCTAAGCTAAACCCTGATAGGATAATGCTGTTGGAGGGGATTGCCTATCACAGGGGTATATACAGGGGCTCAACAGGAGTTGGACAGGGGTCCTAGCGGGTCAGTGTCATTGAGCAATAAGAGCTCAAGAGCTTTACTGGAGCTGTCACCCTGTTCTTTCACACGCCAATTCCCAACCCCCACTAATGAAGCTAGATCGTTCGTACCTACAGACACCTTACAGGTTACTAAAAGCTTGCTAAAAAGAAAACTAGAGCATATCATCTCAGCTTTTGGCCTAGAGCTTTAATCTAGTTGTAACGATTCGAAAGGTTTCGAAAAGAAATCTCATTTATTTGGTCAGTTGAAAGCAAACTTGTCATATTCAGGTAGATCGTGCCATATTTTTGACCTGTCCATGGCCACATGCGCAATCAATTTCCTTTCATTGCGATGTTGCTCTGCTACGTCGTTTCGGCTCGGCTTGCGCTGATACGTCACTTTAGAAGCTAACACACCTGGAAGCTACAGCGTACATTACTACATGCAATCCCTAACGAATCCCCAAAACCTTCTAATCCATGGCATTGACATCCTCGCTTCATCTAAGTGGGCCTACCCATTACGCCGGTGAAAGTCAATTCTATGTACTTCATTGACCCGGCCGAGACTCTAATTGTTAATTGAGGTTTTTTTATGGCAAATGAAGAGGAAGCGGATCAAAGATCAGGACCAGTTTACTTATCACGATCTCGCAGTTTTAGTCGGCAGGAATAGCGAATAAGAGCTCCTCCTATGACGAAGCTGTACGTAAAATATCTCCAACACGAGCGCGTCTATAGCCATTTAAACCGTGGGGATAAGGTCGGAACCAGGATGGAATTGACCAACTACTGTACAAAATTGGTGACCCAGCATCATGCACACTGCATGTAATATATAGTTGAGATGTGCTGGCATCTCATCTGCAAATCAAGGCCTTCCAGCTTCCTAATAGGTAGATATCTATAGGTAGATAGATAGATACCTGGACCAAGCCGTATCGGTAGCTAGTAGCTCAACTTCCCCAGAAAATACTGCAGTTGATCATATAATTCAAGTTTAGAATCTGTGTAGCTATAACATGTAAATATCGCACCCAGGTATCATGATGTCTCATTCAGCAAAGTCATTCATCTCTCGTGTCCCCAGGTACGCCTGTAAGCCTGCATAATTTCATGAATATGTGCATCTCTGTCTGCCACAGCTTGGTCTGGATGTACAGCTTTTAGCATCAGTCCCAAAAGCTCTTCTGCCATAGCCTCTGTCTCCTCGAGGGTTCTATTAATTTCCCATCTAACATCGTCTAGGTCCACCAGATCAGGATAGGATTCCTGTATTTTCTTGAAGAGAAACGTCTTCTCTTCAAGGGACCAGTCGTTATTATCCGGGCGAGACGGCTGTAACTGGGTTGTTTGTACTTGAGCTGGTTCTTGTGGTGGTGCTTCATGCACTGATGACATTTGCCTGGAGGACGGCCTAGACGATTCCGACAGTGGCGTGCGGATGGCTCGAATGGAAAGCAGTGACCTCCGTTGACGTTCTCTGATAGATATCATCATTGCTTCTTCTTCCTTCCTCCGCTGGGCCATGAGCTCCTCCTCTCGTATCAAGTTTTCTTCTTGAATTTGACGCTCCTGATTTTGTCGATGCTCTTCTCGCCCAAGCGCATCTATACCCTCTCCGGTTATTCGGCATAAATCTTTGCGAATCTCCTCGAGCTCTTCTCGTTTCTCCCTTTGGACTCGTCGTGTTTTTGATTCGCCTTTTGGTGAATTAAGCGGCTGTCGCGACAGCCTTCTAAACAGCGGACGATACACCAGTCCAATCCAACCAAGTGTCCTCATAAGTAACTCAATGGTAGAGATTGTGAATGATGTATGTTTCCAATCATGGCCACCTAATTCCCATGCAGATGCTAAAACATGAAACAACATAGGTATGGCGTGTGAGATAATATCACTATGTAGTTTTGTGTTGTCTGATTCTTGCTTCTCGCGTTTCTCTCGGATGCACTTGAGGACAGACTTGATCTCCGAAAAGTAATAGCTGAGGATATTACTATATTCGTTCAAGAATTTGTTCTGCTCCACAAGTTGGTGTGCTCTTGGGACCATCGCAAGTAGTCTCTCAAATTTCGTCAGTAACTTGAGAAGAACTCGAACAGATCTAGTCTCTGGGGAATTAATATCAAAAGACCACTGACGCCATCCCTTTCTAAATCCACCCCAAGCATTGTGGCGCATAAGATGAAGAGCCGTTTTGAGCCTATGGGAATCAATATGCGTAGCAATTTTATCGTCTTCGGGAGGGCCTTCGTAGGTTTCATCCCCTTCAAACCCTTCGGGATATTGATATTTAAAGCTAGCGACGTCTCGAGCGAAGCTTTCCTCGGTAGGTAGGCCAATATCTGACAGATATTCTTCGCTTTGAGAGGACCCGTCAATGTGTTTGAAAGTCTCATCACTTTCAACATCTTCCCCTATCTCTTCCTGCAGCTCAGCTTCGCCCTCCGATTGTACCGGCGCCAATGAAGGGGCGCGATCACCTTGAGATGAAGATCGCAGGGTTTTATCGGTCTTGCGTCTGTCTGGTTGGGAAGACGGGATTGGCTCGGAACAATGTCGCGACGCAAGACTCTTAGTACGCCCGTCTTGCCGAGACAATTCTCTTGAGGAGCTAGTCGAGTCAGGACGATTGAGAGATCGTGTTTTTTCTGGCGAAACAGGTACATCCCATACATCCGCTTGAACCTGATCCTCTGCTAGGCTATCTTGAACGGTATGCTCTGGCTCTAAAACGGTTGTTGGCCGGTCAACCGCATTATCCTCGCTAATAGCTTCGTCGTCTCTAGACGCGTTCGCAACGACATGGCCTTGTTGTTCTTCTTGTTCTTCTTGTTCTTGTTCATCGATATTTTCATGATCGTGGTCGGCGTGATCGTACCCGTTATCTCGCCCGTTGGTCTCTCCATTTACTTGGCTTACCCCAGGTTGCGAGCCTTCGAGTCCCTTTCTCAGTGCGGCATTAAGGCTATTCACAAGCCCTGCGGGCACATAGATATCCTCGGGACTTGAACCGGAACTTTCTTTTCGAGAAATTCTTGCTCTAGCTGGGTTTATGGTAGAACTTAAGACATCTCCAAGACTGGTTACAGACCCAATTCTTCGTCTTTTAAACTGCCTAGTCTGTAGCGATTGGTCATCGGGTTGTTGGCTTAGAGTTCGACGGTGGTCGAGTGATCTTATGGTTGGGTCAATCGTGGATTTGGACGGTGAAGTGTGAGGAATTCCTTCCTCGTTGTCGTCGTCTTCGGAGCTTTCGGGATTAGGTCTATGCTCTTCGACTAGATTCTCGTCTTGGGTGTGCGGTTGAGCTCCAGCTCCACTTCGAATCCCCACCATCATTCCAGACTACAATTAAAATTTAAGAGATAAGACGAAAGTTAGGATGGAGACGTAATTTGGAATTGGATGTCTCTTGGGACAAACTCAAACCAAAGGCGACAATACACCGCAATCGAAACCATGGCAAGAGACTGAAGGAAGCCATTAGGTTATGAATTTTTGAGGCTGTCACCAAGAAATCCTAGTCTCAATAAACAGTGAAGGAACAACCCCCTAACACCCTAACTAGAAGTGGATTATGGGGCCTGTAGCTTCTAAGATTAGGTACAGTAGTACAGGTAGGGGCGGCCACCGGTACCTACCGGTTATGTGGCCCGTGCTGAAGCTTCAAGTTCTGTAAAAAAAACCTTAACCTGTCTTGGATGTGGGGGCGGGGCACACCGGACATATGTCACAGCCAGGTAGGTACCTCGCACCTCAAGAATATCAGCGCTAATTGGAACCTTGCCAACAAAAAGAGGCATCCTACTATTAATCGTATAGACTCCAGGGCTGGCGTTTCGTTCCTTTCACAAGCTTCTTCTTCTTACAAGCCATTTTGACGATTTTTCCAAAGTTACAAAGATTGCATAGAATCGATATCAATATGGAGGCCCCACGACCGCCTCAGCCAGGCGCCGGTAGCTTCCCTGTCCTGGAAACCTTGGATCATTCACTTCATCACGTCTTCATCAAACCCATAAAACAGATTAACGATGGACCGGACGTTCCTAAGTTTCTAACTTCAAGGGCTTACAGGGACATTGGCATATTTGTTATGCAGTTAAACCGTGCTATGTGCCCGCGGAAGTCTGTAGGTGATGATGGCAAAGACAAAATTCGGACTTTTCAAATCGGTTCGGAGTACGAGACTCAACCAGCTGAGTCTATACAAAAGCTCCAGAATATGCTGGCTAAGATAGAGTCTTACATCGACGAGGCTCCACCCGATCAAGGACCAAGACGGTTTGGGAATGTCAGCTTTCGGAAATGGTACCAGTTTCTAGAAGAAAGAGTCGCAGATCTTCTCGAAGAGTTCATTCCCGATAATGTGTTAAACTTTGGCCTTGGTGTTGAGCGCAATAAAGCTCACGCCACAGCTGTCGATGAGCTTACGGCATACTTGCTTGGAGGATTCGGGAGTGCTCAGAGACTTGACTATGGGACCGGCCACGAGTTGAGCTTCCTTGCTTTTCTCGGGTGTCTCTGGAAACTTGGCGCATTTCAAGACGGGAAGTCTGGAGGTGACATAGAGCGCAGTATCGTTCTCGGAGTCTTCGAACCCTACCTTCGAGTTGTAAGGCGTTTGATCTTGACATACACACTGGAACCTGCTGGGTCTCATGGTGTCTGGGGTCTAGATGATCATTCGTTTCAACCATATATCTATGGATCCGCGCAACTTAGTCGCGCAATCACAGAATCAGAACCCATGCCGATTGAAGGGTCACTATTTCGAGCTCCTAAACCTGCACAGGTAGTAAAGGCCGAATATGTCGAACAAGAAAGAAAGAGGAACTTGTACTTCTCAGCAATCGGATTTATTAACGATGTCAAGAAAGGCCCATTCTGGGAACACAGCCCTATTTTATTTGATATATCCGGCATCAAGGATGGTTGGGGTAAAATCAACAAGGTATAGTATACCTACTCATGGTGGTATAGTGTTCATTCTCCGCTAATTTGGTGATAGGGCATGATCAAGATGTTTAATGCCGAAGTCCTTTCCAAGTTTCCAGTGGTGCAACATTTTCCTTTTGGGTCATTATTCTCCTGGGAGCAGGACCCCAATGCGGCGACTCCTCAAACTACGGTCCACATGTTCAACCAACCCGCCTCCACTACGTCAATGCCGCCGCCATCTACTTCCGCCGGGACAGGAGCGCCATGGGCTCAAGCTACATCTATGGCTCAACCATCCGGAATTCCGTATTCCCGAGCACAGTGGGGCCCGACACATCCCCTTCCGAGAGCATCTCAACCTCGACCCAGCGTCCCAGGTACAGAACCAGGAGTCACCCAAGCCCCATGGGCAAGATCTAGCGATAGACCAAGTGGATAAATGATTTATTCACAGTCTTCCGCGAAAGGAAATTGATCCAGCCGTCAGATGAGGTTTGCATACGCAAAAAGCGTGGCAACGTGCTATCAGCACTTCGCTATCGCCGAGCCTAGGGAATTTACGCGGCAACAATTTGCCACAACCCTACCGAGGTTCTCAGGTGATGACAGCAACTTGGGCAAGGATTCAGCAAGTGCTCGTGCCTGGCTGGCAATCCTATACTCGCGAAATGCCTTGTCTTGGGACCGATTAACGGATAAAGGGTGTATATTGCTTCGAGATACTACCTACCGTGAGGGGGTTTATCAGAAGTAAAACCATGAGCACACTTAGATACATGGATAGATACCTATGTAACTGCATAGTTGTAATATAACTTCGATTATGCTATCACTTGTCTGCTTAAAGATGCTTGATTTGGACTGGGAGCCTCTTGATGATCTATATCCTTAGCGTTCGAAGTAGAATAATCTGATAATACCAAGTTTTACATGTCTTGAAATGCTTTGAGCTGCTTAGGCTGGCTTGTCCAAGAGATTAGGTAGATACCTATCCAAGGTCTTTCTTCTTCCTACAAGGGAACTGAGTAGAGTGCCTCACACTGGCTGTCTACATCTCCTCAGCCAAGTAGCTAGGGCACGTGAATTCAATGTGAAATCACGTGGGAATGCCTTCACTAGCGCTACCAGCAGTAAGTAGGAGTATTATACTGGCCCAAGCGCCAATTGGGTCACGTGTAGATAGCATTGCGATCGCGATAAGGGCGATAGTCCGCCATCCATACAGTTAGTTTAGTTTAGATCGAGAATAAAGTCCATTGTTTCTCGAAGCTACTTTGGGTATCTCTCAAACCGAAAACTCTCTGGGAATATCCTCCGCACTTCAACCCTTCCAGCACAAAAAACAAAGCAGAGTATTATTAATTGACGCCATTGAGGCAATCCTGACCACCTGTCCAACTAGCTAATTATCTGGCACCCGTCTCTCGAGTCCATGTTGCCGCATGCCGACGTATTGGGGGCGACGTAGGCTTAAGCGGTCGCGGCGGGCTTGGCCTCCTCAGCGGGCTTAGCTTCGGCGGCTGGGGCCTCGGCGGGGGCAGCAGGCGCAGCGGCTTCAGCAGCAGGCGCTTCGACCTTCGGGGCCTCCTCAGCCTTAGCGGGCGCAGCAGGAGCGGCAGCAGCTTCTATTCGGGGAAATCGTTAGCGATGCTACACGTGCAATACCCAAGCAACGAATACGCAAGCCAATGTTCGTGTGAGACACGGCAGAATTACCCCGCGGGGAACATCATTTGTGTACTCTAAGCATGAAACGAGGGGTTCGGGTTGGACTTACCGGCAGCTGGAGCTGCAGCTGGAGTGTCAGCCTTAGGAGCTTCGGCGGCGGCGGGAGCTGTTATTCCAATGGGTTAGCATAAACTCGACTGCCAATCCCTTTGTCATGTGACTCGGCAGAGGATAGGATTGAACTTACCAGCCGGGGCGGCCTCGGTCTTGGAGGCCTCAGTAGCAGCGGCGGCGGCAGGGGCGGCAGCGTCAGCCTTGGGTGCCTCAGCGGGCTTGTCGGCAGGCTTAGTCTTCTTGCTCTTGCTGAAGACCTTCTTCAACTTAGCCTTGAGGTTGTCAAGAGCGTCCTTAGCTATGGCGAATAAACTCATGTTAGCATGAACCTTCGCGAGTCTACCGAGGTACGAAAAGCATCGCGATAACGAAACCAACAATCCATCACATCGTATTTCCGAGTCGAGAAGCTTCGGATGGCATGTTTGCGCACTTCAGCGGATGGGATGGTTCGTTGTCATCGTGGCCAACATACGCGTTACACTATCAGAGGACCGAGGAAAGTCATAGGGGGTTTTACTTACGAACACCAGGCATGATTGCGGTATTTGAATGGTGATGGATTAGAGAAGGGTATTCGAAATGTGGTGGTACGATGATTAAATTGCTTGACGGCAAAGTTAAAACGAGGCGAATGAAGTTTGAAGAAGAATTACGTGGACTTTATTGTTGTCGCAGGAAAGAAAGAAAGGTAAGAACAGCGTTTTGGGGGAAAGTCGAGATTAAAATTGGAGAATCGATAAGATGGACAGCAGCAGTGGTCCAGGGCGCCAGGGCCAAAGCTGCACCCTTGACAGCGGTCCATGAAACGCACGTTCTAGTTTTTAGCGCCTAAGGTTGCCAATACCAATGCAAGACGCACGAGCCCCCCTACATTCAACAGTGAGCCAGTCAACGCCACAATCAAGCAGCTACTTTAGGGGACTTTAGGGGGCTAGGCCCATAAGGCCACTGAATTCTCAGGGGTTTAGTTCTCTTGCAGCTTTAAGGCCAAGCTAAGCTGCTGCGTGATTCCAGTTTGGAAAGGTCACATCATGATTCCTACATCATCTGTACAAGCTCGTACAACTCGTACAGAGACGGTTAGAAAGGATTCAGGAAGACAGATAACTAGAGAGAAGTCTCCAATCGTCTACCGAGAGATACAGTGCCTAGCCTCTTTCCAAGTCCTACCAAGAATGTCGGGAAATTCCCTATTTCCCTTACATGTATGCCACTACGTTAGGTATTACCTCCGCATCTCATACATATCATATCACATATCGCACATATCTTATATGTACATACTATGCGTAGGCACGGCCCAGGTGTTCCTACGGCTACGATACACTAAGACGTTATGATCCTGATCTGGGGTAGATAGGACGATAGGCAAGGTGGCTTGCAGGATACCGGATACCTCGTGATTTATTTTTCTTATTAGGGATCTTACCCTTCCAAAAACGAACTGCCAAGCTAGTTCTAGGTAGTTTACCTGCTAAGTTAGCTCTCTTTTAAACCCGACAATAGCGCCGATCTGCCAGGTAATTAGCAAGATAAGCTTGTTATAAATTCGCGAGGTATCATCGCGGCGTTCAACTTTGTCACCTTGTCGGCGGCAGTCCCGAATCAGACAAAGAGGATTGCGTCTCGGTCAGGGGCAGAAGGCCGGAGTTCAAGTGAATACCCTCGGAATCGGAATAAAGACAATGTATCTCTGTTGATTTAGTGTCGTATAAAAGCCCTAATAAATCCAATGTTTGACGCCTATAAAGCTCACTGCGTGTACCTTTGAAACCTCATCGTCGAGTTTTCCGATCTTCGGGCAACTACAAATTTCATTGACTTTTGAGAGTTAAAGACGGGCATTTCTCCTTTATCGGATACATATTGACATATAGTTTAGACAAACTGGTCCTAGACTCCAGACGATCCAACCCAATCAGAGTTTCCACAACGGCTCGTGGCTCAGCGTAATCGGGTCTCAAGCAGTCATCCATCTGTGGTTCAGGACAAGCGGTACGTATGCATCCAAGGAACGCATAGATCCGACATTAACGAGTTGAAAATAGATATATACCCCCCAACACCATCACTTTCTCCTCAGCAGGGTTCTCTAGTTCCAAAGCACGTTACTAGATCCCTTCACTACAATGGCGCCAATTATTCACCTCGTACGACACGCTCAGGGGTTTCACAATCTCTGTGTCGAAAACCAGAAATTACCGGACCCGGACTTGACTCCGCTAGGCATCACTCAGTGCGAGGAACTCTGCAAGAAGTTCGACGCTCATGACAAAATCACCCACCTTGTTGCCTCCCCTATTCGGCGGACGCTGTGGACTTGCCTACGCTCCTTTGACCCGGTAGTGAAATCCGGCATGAAGGTAATCGCTCTGCCGGATGCCCAGGAGATCTCAAACTTTCCCTGTGATATTGGCTCAGAGCCCGAGAAGCTGCAGAAGGAGTTTGATGACTTGGTAGATTTACACTTGGTTCAGAAAGGTTGGAATGATAAGTCGACCGGAAGCAAATACTATCCTTCTCCAATCAACCTCGAAACGAGGTCGCGGGAGGTCAGGATATTCCTTAGGGACTTGGCGAACAAAGCTGGGGAAGATGCGCAGATTGTTCTCGTTACCCATGGTGGTATCCTTCATTTCCTATCTCAGGATTGGGATGACGTTAATCTAGAGAGAGGTACGTGACTTGTCCATCCTCCTTAACCATTCATGATATCGCCATCGGTTGCTGACAAAAAATAGGCACTGGCTGGCAGAACACCGAGCATCGCACATATCAATTCAAGGATCCGACTGGCCAAGATCCCGAAGCATGCCTAAAGGAGACCCAACAAAGTCGGCGACGTCGGCGAGGAAGTGTGATTAGTCTCACTATGATGGAGAAGGTTCAGATACGACAAGCCTACGAGGCTCTTATCGATGAGATAACTCAAGAAAATGGAAACAATAAAGCAATCAAATCCGAGGAGGCCGTAAGCGTCTAGCCTTAGGAGATTTGGATAGGGGATGCAAGCAAGGCCTTACCTGATAAGGTTTAGTTGAGAGCATGGGATACAATCATTGGCCGTTTAAGACTCGGTATATTAACTCTCGCTTAGTGTAGGCATAGGTATTTAGTTCAGTGTACTATTCATAGATCACCAGGAATATGATTTTTAACCAAGTCGGACAGTTCCTACCTTATGGGTCCTAAAGTTAATTAATAACAGTCCGTACCTAAAGCCATATGCTTTATATTCTCGAATTACTTAAACCTAATACCTGTCATGAATTTACTATATATTATTCCCATTTAACATGCTAGGGGACTACTAGGTATCTTTGTAGAAATTGGGGCTATAGAATATTGAATTAGGTCATTGACTGTCTGCCAATCGCAACCTGTTGGCCTAGATAAGTCAATACCCCTTTCCAACTAAGTTATGGGCATAACTTCCTCGAGATTAGGTAGCTTTCAATTGCATCGGTTCCTATTTATTTCGTCCCTGCCTAAACTCATGGTTCAATGTTTCTAGCTCGTGACATAAGCAGATGCCCATTTACAAGTGGGTGTAACTTCCTGCACTTGGCTTTGAGGCAGTTACCTCAACAATTGGGTTGACTAAAGTTGAAATCCAGGTTGTATTTAGAAGGTGAAGTTACCATTTGAGGAAGTAGCAGACAAGAGAAGCTCGAAATGCGTAACCCAATTGCTCAATCAAGCTATCCCAGGTTGACGGTACTTAACTCTCTGCTCAAAGTTCGTTTCATGTACGTACAGTGATGTCTTAAAGAAGGAGACAACGGTCAACCCTACCTATAGTATATTTCAAATCGTTAGCCCAAGAATCTTTGATCTCAGTCTTAGCATCTCTGACAAGTTGAACATCACCAAACACAGACACAGCAAACGATTTGGGCATATTTGGTTGCCATTTTTCGCTCAGGTCTCTTACTTTGATTGTCTTTCACTCCCCAACCCAACACGCTCTTTTATTTCGCTCGCTACGAAGTCTTGCTGTTTTGACAAGCAATACGGTCATCATGAGGCCGGCATCATATTTCGGATGCCTTGCCTCCTTGACTGCCACCGTTGTTTCGACGTGGAATAACTTCGACTTACACCCGGTTCTAGCTCCTAGCTATGACAAGGCGGAGCTTGCTAACATTGTGCCATCTACCAATGTGAATCTTGACTATGGCATAGACGGTCTAGATATTCCTGAGGATCCCCTCAGCAGCGTCAGCATTCATCTTCAAACCAACCAACCCACAGTGCTTCTTGAGGCCATCGGAGCGGTGTCCAGCGTATCCTGTTCTCGAAACGCAGTGTCAATCTCTTTCCATACTGCAGATTCGTTTCAACATGCTACTATGGCATGGCCACACGATGGCAAATTCTATCTCATCACGAACCATTTGGGTAACTGCGACGCTTGGAGTGAGAGAGGAATCTTCCAGGTCACTAGTCTTAGCTGGGATACTGAATCTATGACTGTCAAGGCACAGACTCAGAAGACCACCCTAGCCAACATAGCAAGTAAGTTCCGTAATTTAACACAAGAAATTAATCTTGAAATCCGGTACTAATGTCAGGACAAAGTGTCCGTAGGGGTCGATTTCGCTCATTTCCAGGACACGACGTCGGATAATAATGGAAACATTACATTTGACGAACCCGGGCTTAACGTCGCTTCCAATTTCACAATTCCTGCTGGAACGGTCATATTCGCAGAGGAGCCGAACTTCTCTACTGTTGCCAGAGGCGGTTATCTCAGCGATGCCGCTGTAATTCGAGGCCATTTCGACTTCAACGTCCCTGGTCAACAGATTCAGAGTCTCTGGTTCAACATAGATGCTGCATTCTTCGGCAACCTTGCTGTCACTTTCAACCTTACAGGGCCTGTAGAGAATAGTAACTTCGCCTTCACTCCTGGGACATTCCTGCCGAGCACAGTCAACGTTCCGGGTGTTTTCACTCTCACACCAGCACTTCATTGGGTTATTGGCGCTGATGTTGGTGCTACTGGTCCCGTAGTGCACAATAGTAACATCACGGTGACAATACCTGATGGTCATGTACACGTGGATTTCCTGAACAACACCAATTCGCGAGCCGTCGGTTGGGGACCTCGCTTCACATCTTCCGTCAGCACCGAGAAGGCGTCTTCTGGCCATGTATCTCCATACGTTGATTTCTCTGTCGACCTGACTCTTAACGTGTTGAATGGTCTCTATAACGTCACGGGTGGGATCGCAGCGAAACCGCAGCTCATAAACGAGATCAACGTTGCGAAAAGCCAGTCGCGTATCAGGAAGACTAACCATATGCTTTCGCTAAGGAATGTCACATGCAATAGCGGGTTCGAGCTTCGCTCAGATTTCAACTTCAGCGTGACAGCATACGTTGAGGACAAGTGGGAGATGTCGCTCTATAACACATTGATTCCCGTTGCTGATGAGTGTTACCACTTTTAATATCTCGTTTGACTAAGAGTCGAATAATTGATGGCGATCTTCATAGCATGTGGTTCTCGGCATCACAATGCAGATTTGCAGCTTTACGGAGTTATGTGGCTTTAAGGTGAGCCAGGGGAGTAGATGAGTATTCGCAGACGAAGGACTGACTTATTAATGTGCAAGCCGGGTCGTTGGAATCTATCTTAGTTATTCCCCTCAAGAAGACGATTATGTAACTGTTAGCATCTGGTGCACGGACCACAAATGGAACCGGACTGGTGGATGAGAGTGGCGACGAATCACGGGACGTCTTCGTATTTCGTACCTAGTAGCCATCAATTTTGGGTTGAGTCATCGGCCTCAAGTACCTAGATACATAAACAAATATACAGATGTCTCGCATATTCCCCTCGACTCAAACGTAAGGATCCATTTTTCTCCTTCACGTCACTTATTGACATTCAGTCAAGGAGCCTCTTGCTCTAGTTGATTCTACAAATTAAAGGAGGTTCCACTTGATATCCCGATCCCCCCTTTCTTCTTACACGATAAACCCCCTTTTTATCATGATTTCAACAAAAAATATCCCTGAAGGAGCCATCGATGGCAGGCAGGCTGTAGCTAGTCCTCCGGTTGGTAATGTTGTATCAAGACCAACGCCGGAATCTCAGTCCCAGGATCCGCGAAGGTATCAACTCGACCAAATGAAGAGGCGCTATTCTCCTATCCAAAATACGCTGCAAAACGGTACAACAAATCTCTTCTTTAAACTCAAACCATCTGATCCGGATTTTCCTTTTGAATTGGATCATCTAGAATGCGAACTTCAGGTTCCAGCATCATATCCAGAGAAACCTCCCGTTCTTCGTGTAAAGAATAAGGATATCCCTCGCGGATTTGCCGTTAACATCGAGAAAGGATGGGATAAACTCGTTCGGGATAGTCACGACTTCACCCTTCTAGCATTAATCAATGCCTTGGATAGAAATCTCGAAGGATTCCTTTCTGAGCGAAAAGTCGAAACTGTAACTATGGTATCCTTCAAAGATACACGACATCTCGATAGTTTATCGACTGCATTAGGCGAGACTTCAATATCAGCAGCTAAGACACCGCTGAAGCCAGCACCAGCGCCCCGTAAGCCCTACGTGCCAGAGGAGTCTTTTACAGAAGAACAGATCGTAGAGGCAAGAGCGAGACGAGCCGAGGACACCGGGAGACTCGAAGCGCGAATGCGTCGGGTGCCTTTCTACAAGAAATCGGCAGACGGGGTAGTTTATACATTACGTCTACGACCTACTCATCCAGCAGAATTACCCTCTCCGTTGAAGTTTATCCAAACAGTCCAATTAATCGTTCCCTTACTTTACCCTTTACAACCGCCGAAGATACTCATCAATAATGTATCATCAGAGGACGCTGAGCCTCTGGAGGAAGCATTCACGAAGAAGGCTGCTGAGCAGAAACATTTCCCCTTGACGACGCATTTGAATCACTTCGCGTGTTCGATGCACCTGATAGCTAAAGAATGCGGCGTAGGATCTAAGTCTAAATCTACTATCCCCCACGAGAGCCAGTCGGGTGATGGTACAGGCAAACAGGAGAAAGCTTCTGCGAATGTTGGTGTCGGTGGCGATGAGAAAAGCCATATTCATGTCATTCCTCGTCCTCCCGAATGGGATATCGGCAACGCTGCTGAAGGATCAGAAGATTCTGATAGCGACTACTGGGACTCAGATGACGAGTCCGACGGTGGTGCCGCCGTCGACACTGGAAGTAAGGTCCAGAGTAATAGTCTAGTATTCCCACACGGCGAAGAGCACGTCGAGAAGGGCACCGCGATATCGTTCCCCAACGTCGAATTATACCGCGTCGACCTCCTCGAGATAGCGGACCTATGCCTTCAAGTTAAGTGTCTACGATGCAAGATGACGAACGCGGCGTCACATCTGAAGCCACATGTGGAACAGAGGGGTAGTTGCACGAAATGCAAGGCGTCGCTGGCGTACAGGTTCCGGCCGGAGTTGGTGCATCAGAACTCCGCTAGAGCCGGGTTCATCGATGTAGCTGGCTGTACCGTCAGCGATATGCTGCCTAGGTGTGTTTTCCCCCCTCCTTGCCCCTTTGTTTCCCATTTACGTACCTGCATTACCTACTACTACCTACCTACAAATGAATCTACCTAGTATCTATCTATCCACACAAGATCTCATGCTAACACCCCACCTAGCACCCTAACCCCGACCTGCGGCCACTGTTCGCAGCCCAGCCACCCACTCCTCGCAGTCCAAGGCGAGCAAATCATCAACATCTGCCGAAACTGCCACTCACGCTTCCACTTCACACTCCCAGCCATCAAATTCCTCGCCATCACCCCCGGCACCGAGCCCCCGCCGCCAGACCCCCACCGACGCCGCGTCGAACACCTCGGCCTGCATCTCGGCGAACCGCTCCCGCAACGCGGCACGTGTCCGCACTACCGCCGCTCGTACCGCTGGTTCCGGTTCGCGTGCTGTGGGAAGGTGCATGCGTGTGATCGGTGTCATGATGAGACCGAGGATCATGTGTATGAAAGAGCGGAGAAGATGGTTTGTGGGTGGTGTAGTCGGGAGCAGAGGTTTGCGGTTGAGGCTTGTGGGTTTTGTGGGAGGGCGGTGGTGGGGAAGAGGGGGAGGGGATTCTGGGAGGGTGGGAAGGGGACCAGGGATAAGGGTGTCATGAGTAGGAAGGATAAGAGGAAGTTTAGACGGGTTGGGGGGAGTGAGGGGGCGAGGGAGAGATGGGTTTAGGGGGGGTGTTGGTTTGCTTGCGGTTGGGGTGGTGATGTTCTGTTCCGTGTGCTGCGGGATAGGGGTCGGAGTTGTTGTGCTGGTTTATCCTGTGCAATTCGGTTAGCAGCATGTATAGTTGTTGTGATCTCGGGCTATTTACCTGGGCATCAGTATACCTTTCAATTGTATAGTTGTTAACTATGATCTCCAAGGTACTTTGGCGTGGTTCTACTTAGTAGGCGGAAACCCTTACCCCTTTCCTCTTTACCTAGTATCTACTCGGAAGAGTTCATGGACGCTACGGCTATCTACAGGAGCATTCTAACCAATATTCAGCTTCAGATTTACTTTTACATGTCCTAATTCCTTCAGTCTAGATCTAGGGGAGAGATTGTGCTGTCATATACGAGTAGTCAATCATATGAGCGACCCCCTTTCCCACTAGGCTTGTATATATGGATATGATCGTGGTACATGATAGCTCATCTGGAGCTAAGCGATCTAAAGGGGGTATCGGCATTCCCCAAGAGGGCTAGCTGTTTAGGTTATGTACAGGGGGGTATGTTAGGTTATCCCCCCTCTCTCGGCTTAGGCATATCTTGGAAGTTATGTAGGTCTCAAATAGGTAGCCACGGATATATGGATTCTGTATTAAAAGCCTCTTCATAATAGGTAGATACACCAACATCCTACTAGTTGAGCTAATTGTCAACTTCGATATAGCATCTAGTTCCGGGATATCAAGCGCCGAGAAGTCTTAAACGCCACATGTTGGTACCTATGCAGATGCTCCGGTGGCGTTAAATGCACAATGGCTGTTAGCATAATATTTATTCGGACAATTATTCACGGCAGGGTCGTTCTTCATTGGATTCCATCTTGTACTACAGCGTCATCATCTGAGTACAATGTTTCACCTCCAGCCCTAAACAGTATTCGATCGATCACGACTCTTGCTGAAGACACATCACGCATCGGCAACTTGCCGTTATGAGCCCTCGGTTCGAGGGTGGCAACATAACTCCATATTACAGGATGATATGCCTCGTTCACCTCGAAACGAAGTATCGCAGTTGGTAAGCAAAAGCATTGACAATGTGACGACTCGGGGTTGCTCGGTGTCAGCTTTGCCGTCCAGAGGATATACCAGAGAGTATTATCGGAATATTTTATTTAATTGTATTCTACAGAAGAAATAAAAAAATATCGATAAATATTAAAAATTGAATATTTTTATTTTTTACCTATTTTACAGTCCCTGTATATCTCGCCTCCACCCATCCCGGTGCCTCTGCATCGGTACTTTACATCGGTGAAAAGCGAAATGTCGTGTACGGTGAGCCCCTGTAATGTACTCTTGAATTATCCCTGAAGCGACAGCGACACATCATATTCCAGCTTTCTCCAGAGTGCCCATGCGAACTCTCATCCCAAGCCACGGCCTTGGGACCAGCCTCGCCAGCTTTCGGATGCTGAGAACGGAGTGTTTTCCTGCTCCTTGGTTTCCCAAAACGAGCCTCTTCTCCATTTATCATTTATCAACTACCGTTCCCTGGTTCGAACCGGGAGCTATCCCCCCTGTCCCAGACCGCCCGGATGCATCCTGTTTCCTTCCGCCTGGAACCCAGCGTCGCATTACTGGCGGAGCCGCAGAACGGATTTCCCCTGGTCTTGCTGCTCCAGTCCCCTGGTTCGCGAACAAGAAAAATGATCGCGACATCATTTCTGACCGGGAACTTTGCGCATGTACCGACGTACCGGATAGGGTAAAGAACAAGGCATAGTCGCGACTTTCGCGAGCCTATTTCCATTTTCGATCGTCGATAGCCGACCAACGAGAACAATTTACGTCTAAGCTTCTTCCCTACCTACAGTATGTACTATGTAGAAAAACTCCACAGACGTTACGGACGGGTCAAGGGAGATTGGCGATAATGCTGATTAAACTTCTTACCCGCCATATTAAGCCCATCTACCATAGTGCGGCGTACCTAGGTAAATCTAATAGGGCGCATCCGCAAGCGAAGGGGGCACGCTCGCAGCACGGTCGTCCTGGAGTCTTCGCGCGTGGCGAGCCCGAGGACGTGGCCCTGGCGGCTGTGTTCCAGCATCTACAGCGTACGGCATAGCGTATCGGCCCTTCCCCCAGCGCTCATCGAACCCAACGTCTTGGATTCGGGTATGTTAAATTATGGGTTTTGTTCACAACGCCCGGGACGACGACTCCATCCGTTCGTTTACGATCCTATCATATTTGCGGATGCACGACTCCGCCATTTTGTGATATCTCGAACAGTTGAGGAGACAGGAAAGAGAGATACATAGTAGATAGACGAAATCTAGATGCAATGCGGATACTGTGTGTAACTTGTTGGTTGGTTGGGTTGGTGCTTTACCCGATGGAAATGAAAGAGCACTCGATCTTGGATCTGTGGCGCTGGCCCGGGCCGTCGGGGTGGCTTCGTGCGGCGTTCGTATCTGAGATCCTTTGCCAACACCGGTGTGTTCGTCGGTCAGTGTTGGCTGAGAGATTACCTAGTACCAACTGGTGCCTGGCTGCCTGGCAAAAGGACATAATAGATAAGCAATCCACGCGGGCGGCGGTGGCGTTCACGATGGATGATACAGCAGTGGTGAATTTGTGGTAGGGCGTCAGCCTCCTATGTAATACATATCTCCCATTGCATAAGTACCTACATCATGCAATACGACCGGTGTGCTAGTGCATAATTTGTACGCAGTATGGAATCATGGAATGGCAATTCGATGTCCCATTTTGCCAAGCGCGTTTCGCAGACCTGCAAGGTGTACCGAATTCGTCGTCCCGTAGCAACGACCCAATCCCATTTATCGCCCCCTACATGTGTACCAAAGTACTCAAATGCCGATGCAAATCCGGGGAGGCGACAGTAACTTGCAGCCAAATCCAATCAGGTGATCGACAATAGGAATTGTCTCCGCTAGATGCACTGACAGACTGAATCCAGTATTCCGCGGAGCCAAAATTGATAAGAATCCATAGGTCTTACCACGGGACCCAAAGAGGAGCCTCCTCATTACGACATCCAAGTGCGCCGCATGTGCCTCTCACTAAAGTTGTTGGAGGTTAGGTAAGCCGCGATATGCGTGTCAATTTGGAATATCATTCAGGGCGTTGTTTAAGGGTGTTGGTGGGATAATGATCTGTTGATTTGTTAAGCCATTGACTTTCATGCACGGTTCTTACGGACTGACTCTCTTTACTTTACCTACTAACCAACACACCGACTCTCAACTCTATGATGTACATACATACAATACTGTACAGAATCTAATTAGTGATTATCAGAATCCTACGCGGGATGACGAGTACCCCATCTCCCGTCTCTCACCCCCAAATCCCCCATCCCGCCGTCGCGCCATCGAGCCGTGTCACGCAGTGGCGGTGCGGTAATATCCGTAGGGCGCGGGACGGGAAGGGCTGCGATCTCATTGGCTTGGCCCTGCTTAAGCTTCTTACAGTGCTGACAGGAACCTAAAATCAAAAGCAAAACGTGAGCAGTGAGCGCTGTAGATTGGGGGGCTTCCCTTTGGGGGTCACGTATCTTATGATCAAGGATTGGGAGGACGAATTAGGCAGGGAGAAGCTTATTTACCTTCCTCTTCCAGAAAGAGGTGACTGCTTCAAGCCAGTCACGCCTCTCACCGAGGGAAACATCAGTTAGTCTCGAGCAAGGGGGGGGATAATAACGCTATTCATTGGTCACTGGGTCCTTAGTTGAAATCCTTGACATGATAATGCCACATGGGTTGGTTCCATCGGAGTTACTGTTTTGCTGGTCCCTGCATAATTCATCATGGTGTGTTTCATTCCTTTTTGCTTCTTTCGTTCGCAGAAGGATCCAGCGAAGGTCTCACACTGCCGTAGCCGATTACTAACTAGATCCCATAGACTCTTATTATATCCCAATGCAGATGGCTTTTTTTACTGCCATGCTACCACACGTATACTATATATATGCACGTTTGTAAATCATTGTCCATTATTGGCTGTGCTAGCAACAATATGGCATTAGTTGGTATAACTCTGTGTTTTATATAGCTTCCAAACTGCCGTTAGGGATCTGTTTAGTTTGGCTTTGTCTCTGAACACACCTATTACGAAGTACGCAGAGGATGAATATGGTAATGGCTGCGAGGACCCATTGTTGGTGCCTTTGCAGGATGATGGTTCCCTGACAAGGAGATAACGCTTATTTTCACTTAAACTTCGAATAAACAGGGGTGTTTTTTGACATTTCAATAATAAAAAATATTTAAATATATTTATTTGAATTTATCTCAAGGTCATTTCTTCGATATCCAAGCCCATATTTGTGAAATAACCTCACAACTATTGATCGACATGGGGGATTTATGCCCACGTGAAACCTATCCAACAGTTTGGTATTGCCAAAGACAATTACTACCTTCCTTCTATGCATAACTACATGTAATACCACTCCCAAGTGGATAATTGCCACGAGTCCAAGGCGTGCTATTGAATAGTAGGTCCATTTACTCGGGAATTATTGTAAGGGCTGAAGCCTTAGCGATGGCTACGTTTCAATTTGACTTCATCATTGTGTATGTAAGGGGAGTGGACACTCGCTCTTGGCCTCACCTAGCTATGTTTTACATCTCAGCATGTAACTAATAGTGGCTTGAAGATACGCGTACCTGGCAGAGTGGAATTCGTCATCTACATAGTAGGGTCCTTGATTTGACCCGAGTACTTTCTATGTATATCGTCTTGTCAAGGGCTCCGAAACCAACTTTCTCCATTATTTACGCTTCTCTCCAGTACGAGCCGGTGCCGCGCAATTGGGATCGCTTGATCGGGCGGCTCATATCCACCAGAACCACCTTGGGCATCGACAAGCACAGGCAAATCCAAGGGCCTGGGTCGCTTACTGCTAGTAATAGACTTATGTTTCGCTAATTACGACGGAGAGACGAAACGCCACATGATATTACACAGCACGGCACTCCCGAGTACGTAGTAGCACTACGTAGCGAATTGCTAGAGTGCCGCACTTGCATCCGGTGACTTCCCCGTGATTGCGAACCTGGGGAAGACACCTGATCGAGCATAGCTCCTCGATGCGATATGACTTCATGGACGGGCGCGATAACGACGATGAAGCATAGGGCAATCGACGCTCTAGAACACGGCGTCCTCCAAGGCTTCATGCGAGTAAATCTGCTTTCGGAATGGCGTCTTCAGAGATAGTCGACAGCTTTAAATGGGAACTCCACATGATCGCTATGACGAGGGGTTTCAGGGGCGGGTGGGAGAAGACGTGGTTGGTGGGAAGAGGCACTACTCCGCCTAACGAAACAACAGATTTCGGCGAAAATACACTCCTGTCAAAGTGTCAGGAACAGCGCCGAACGCTTCGAATTTCCTTCTAGAAGGTGTGGTGTGGTGGTTGCGCGTAAGCTCGTCGGCTAAGCTAAGCGTCGGTCGCTTCTTCTAGCTCTCCTACAAGGAGGATGGTGTAGTTCATGACTAACGGGTCTCACGTTCGCATTAGGAAGTGAGAGCGGGTTGAAGAAATTGGCTGGGTTTTGACAAGCTCGACTATCGCGCGAAGCCCTTGTCGCCGGAAGCCCATCCGCCCCGCGGGTACACTAACAGGTCGTCTGAGAGCCCGTTGGTGTCATTTCAATGTCAATCCCCTACGCTGCTAGGGCAAAACAGGATACGGTATCCCAATCGTCCCAAGTTCAGAGATATGGGTTAGGATTGCCCATGAAGAGGCCGTGCGTGAGACGGGGAACAGTGGTGTCATCGAATATTCTCGATAGTTTATTTTATCGAAAATATTTTATTCTGCTTTATTTTATTTTATTTTTTATTATTTTATTCCTAGCCATTGATGGGTTTCTTCTGTATGGTCGGTGGATAGAGACATGGTTCCATGTTAGCGTGACTAGGATCCTTTATCCCCAGCCCTCCCAGAGCCATGATAATGGGTTCGCCTTCTGATCTCCTCGGAGTTCACTCCGTTGATAACAACTTTATGGGTGTCGGGTCGTTAGGTTGTCAGATTGTCGAATTGTTTGTTTGTTGTTTAAGATATGCTTACAACATGTTCGTTATTGGTATAATCGTGATAAATTTTCTACTCCATACCTATATAGATAATTGTTAGTTAAGACAAGTCATTCAATGCAATAAGATACGAAAAGAGACACCGAAGCTATGTGATAAACTGTTGGCAAATCCTCTATGCGTACGTGCCTCGAGAGGTGTGTGATGATTGTGTGATATCTGATCGGAACATCATCCCGCTGATGATCGATGGAGTACATGGAATACGATGGTACATGGCTTCTCCCAAGAACAATAAATAAATAAATAATATTAAAATATTAAAATATTAAAATCAATTACAATAAAATCAAAAACAGGGGTGATAGAACTTAAGGAAATGAACATACAAGGTCAAATGTAGTCATGTACACGAAATACATGAAAGGAAATACTTGAAATACATCTCCACATCAAATGACTAATCCTGGAATCCAAGCTAATGCGAACTACGGTTCAGAGGCTCCCAAAAATCTTCGCATCTTCGCCGGTTAAGACTTCGGGAAGATCTGGCGCTCGAGACAGTCACGGGATCGGGTTGCCCAGTTGAGAACCCAACGCGACGGTGTTGTTGCAGTTCTTAGTAAGGACATGAGCCTGGAATAAAATGATGGCAATAATTAAATGACGGACCCGCCGAAATGGTCATTGGTCAGAGCCTAACAGTCGTACTATGTATTATGTACCTTATATGGAGCTATTATTAGTTTCAAAGCGTGTCAAATGATCGATTTTAAGTCGTCAATGCGGGTTGTCATTAATCGGGGGATAAATTATGCTATGTTTTATGTTGTTTCATGGAGAATGGGAGAATTAAATGATTGGCGGGATTACTAAGTGCTTCGTCTTATGCACATAACAAGTCATTACATAATAGCGATGATTAGGTTATTAGTGGCGGCAGTTGGGGCATTTTGGAAGTCACAAGTCTGGGGAACTTTGAATCTTTCGTCATATTCTGATTCTCTCGGTAACAGCTGTCTAGCGGCTGACATCATTTCATCACATGTGTCTGCTATGTGCGTAATGAAGCTCAGATCGATCTTACGATATCAGTAGAACTGGTTAGCTTCGGCCGCTTCAATTGGTCTCCGTACACCCGCCTCAAACTATTTACTATTATGAGATAGCAAGGTTACAGATTTATAGCCAACATCAATTGATTCGACTATTACCTCCAGGGCTATTACTTAGTAACAACCACCTAGAAATGCAGTCATTCGCCGATTACCTAAGAGCAATAGATCGCTGAGTCTTGCAAACTTTTGTGTAACTAGTGATTCTATACGACGTCATAGAACGCCACAACTTTTTTTTAACCTTTTCGCTATCTCCACATGCGAAACAACGTCCTTCCTCGTAGAATGGAGCCTCACCTTATCAAGCCACAGCACAATAACTGGGACTTACTTCCAAAAGAGGAACCTTCCCTAAACAGATGAGGCTAGTGCTCTGCCCCTGAAGGCCCCCTATTCACAGCTGTTACTGGGAGTCACGACGTGGGGGAGCTCAAATCGACCATGGCGGAAGTGGATAGACAACAAGGGAAGGAGGACCAGTCGAAAAGGCCAACGACTAAAGAAAAGCTTCTAGAAGAAATTACGACACGTATCGAAGAGTCTAAGAAGCTACAAGAAGAGTCTGTTCGACTCCACAAACAAGCCGACGAAGCAGATGATCCTGCAATTGCTGAGGATCTGAAATTCCAGGCCCGCAAGCTAGACAGGAATGCCGCCAAGTTGCTGAAAACGGCGAAGCGGCTCGAGACCGGCTGGATGCAGGGTGGTGCTGCTGGTGCCGGTATAGGGGCTGGTATCGCTGGTGGACTCGGCATAACAGTCGGGTCCTTGGTCAGCGGCCTAGTTGCTATCCCTACTACCGGCTTGGGTATCCTAGTCGGCGCGGGCACGGGGTTGGTCCACGGCCCTTGGGTCAAGTTCAGCCAGGCGTTCAGTAAGGACGAGGTAGATGAAATTGATAAGGAAGCAGACGAAGAAGCCCGGAGGGTTGGCGAGGCTTGAGATGAACTTATACGGAATATGATGAAACGGATACAATGTATTGGCGTGGATAAAACCAGCGTGGGTTAGCGTAGCAAGTGCTGGGTATGGATTTGAGCATATGAGGATACGACATACATTATAATTCCCTTTTTTTCTGGAGAAGAAATATTATGGACACAAAAGGGACAGCAGCTGAAAAACCTATGATACAGTACTTCACATAAATGGTTTCATGTAGTTGCTTTGAAGTCAGGGGGCACTTCAATTCTAAGAACCCTTTGTTGAAACGTCCTCTATTATAATGATACATTTCTGAATAAATCCAAAGTGTTTCCGTATCAGCCCATAATCAATATGATTCCCAAATAATCGGCTTAAGTATAGGTGTTTCAGGCATGCCTTGAAGAGCCTGGAGACTTCTAGTATAAAGGAGATCAACGTCTAAGGCTTTCTGAAACTGTGGTACACGGGGATACCTAAGAAAACTCCCAGCTACTGCATGTTCTTCAATATCGCACTCCTATCATAGAAAAATCCAATTATCAGGTTTATTCACTCTTATTTAGGCTCCATAGTAAACGATTGTTAGTAGAATTCTTTCTTATGCTACTAAGGAGCATCGATCTCCTCATTCACCAGCCTTTCATGGGGGAGCTACCATGCGAGGCGAGCGTTTCCAAGTTCCGTGAGTGCCTATACTGGCTGTTCGGTAGTTTTTGTGACGGAACTAGGCAGGAAATTTAGAAAGAGGCTCGGAAATCTAATCGCCAAAGGGGTACTATCCACAAAGATATTAATACTGCTCAACATGCATACACATATCTCGCGAAAGGATCACCAGATATCAAAACAAAGCCCCTATTCAAGGTGATCGACCGGCCTTTGGTACATAAGGAGCAAGCACACCGATGATATCTCAGGAGATTTTCCAGTCTCTCCTATTTCAGAGATAAATCCCCCAATCTATTCACACGATGGAATTTACCTTTAAGATAACATATCAGGATATTTTGCCAGGATGCGCTAGATCTACGCCAAAAGTAGAGATCCTCTCTGCAAAACAAGCCAACCGTAGTTTCTCTTGCTTCTCAAAACTTCCACCCGAACTGCGTGCCATTATCTGGCGCTTCTACTTTCTTCATGAGCACGACGGTGTTACTCGTATCCACCCCATCGTTGACTGGTGGGATAGAAAGTCGGAACTCGATACAATGAAGTTCGATCTTTATTGTATTCCTCCGCCGATTTCTACTCCTCTTCTGGCCGACTCCAATAGACGGTGCTGCCGACCATACGACAACATCAATCAGGAATCATATGAAGTAGCCCGGAAGATGGGACATCCATGCTACTATGTGGGGTGTCCGAACTGGAATACGGATCTAGCCTATTGTATAAGCTTTTCAGCGACACCTACTATACGCTTCCTTGAAACCCATCACCGGTTCGTACAGAATCTCGCGATTACGATGGATGAACGACATTATCGTGAATTAAAACATTGGGAGCCATGGCTCCATGCCCTTAAGCGAGTATACTTGGTTATGGATCCCGGACCTCTTATCACTTCCAAGTTGCCCCGTGACGAATTTGGGTTTATCCAATACGATACTTTGTATCTTGAACAGCTAGCCTACGACAAGCCCGAACTCGCCTCCGCAGATGAAGCCAAATATTTCGCGCGTCGATTTCGCGATGATGTGGAAGTCAAGGTCGTTGTTGATGTTGGTTTTCAATTTGCTAGCGAGCATTGCCACCGGGTTGGGTGATATCAACCGTACGCAAAGCCTAGAGTGAAATAGCAGTAGCGGAGTCTCTAGGAAATCGCACACAACTTCCGACAGAAAAGATCTCCTGATATCAGAATCTACAGACATCTCTTTTTATCTAAGAGGGTATGTTAAAATAGAGATATTGCCTACGTTTCGTGGGTTTAGGTTCCACCTATTTGTGAGGTAATAGGAGGTATTTCCTCTACGAATATTTACTATGAAACCATCATCCGTAGATTTGCTCATGGTATGAATTGATAGTACGATCTTTTTGATACCAGGTGCCTATTCCATATCTAATGTATCTCAATCCAGCCTCTTCTTTCTGTATATGTATCTGCAGTTTGAAATGATAGTGAATGTTCCTTCGAGTCAAAACGTCTACCAAACACGCGACAAAATCAAAATTAAAAAAATTGCACTTTAACTCCTCGATAGAAACATGTAATCTCCGATATATTCAAGTTGATGTAATAATTCACTAGATCTTGAATTGATACCCTCCCCATGACGTTGATCCAGGGCATGAGGTTCGTTGAATCGCCTCAATCTGCAAACCATCGGGCGAATAGGGGGCCCCCGGACACGGCGCTTAGCTAATATTGTCAGAGAGCAGATGTCGCGCTGCGGCTATTCTACGAATATACAATCTCATGTGGCAGTCAGGGTCCGATCCTCTTCTCTCCGAGACACGATGGAAAGGCTGAAAGGAATACCGTTGTCCCGACAGATCTCGCTGAGGGTGTGAAGACAGTTGTCCAAGGCTGAGTTGTCAATAAATGTCTCACATGGCACGCGTGACAGCATCCTGCGTTGCTGGGAGGGGGGTGGCCAGCCAAGAGCTTGAAACATTGATTCACTCGTCCGAAAAAAGATTTGGGTGTGCTGACTTAGAGAGTAAGGGCTTACCCTAAGCAGCACCGCCTAACTCTGCTGCTCCAGATCTTCGTACCTACCGTCTCCACGTCGTATGTAGATATGTAGCTATGGACGAGGCTCTAGCGAGGACGCGGGGAAATCGATCATCAGACCAAGCAAAACGGAGCTGGGCCTGGCCCTCCCCGGGGATCGACTTGTGCATTGCCAAGGCTCAATATAGAAGTCTTTTGATTATTTTGAGTGCACCCCATCACCTGTGCTCGCGCGATTAACAGGAAGCTTCACCGCCGGTTGGCATTGGCCACTGATTATTCGCAGTGTGTCAGTCGCGCCGTTGGGTAGCCTGAGACAAGGCCCGCGAGGCCGGAGGAAGACCGGGTTTTGTCAGGGACCTGCTTTTTTCTTTTCTCGGCCGTCAGCACCATCATCAGGTGCCTGAACTAGATGTTGGAACGTCGCGATCCTACGGCGGCACGGTTCGAGAGATGATTCAAGGATCAAGGTGGAGGAAGGTAAAAAATAATACTAGGTAATGTCATGAGCAGAAGAAAGAGATTCATCCAGCCATCCATCCCCAGAACGCCTAACTACGATAACCCCTTGGCCGGGAAGCCGACGCTACGGTAGCAACCACGGAGATATTTTCGCCTAGGGCAGGGCGAGTCTCATATTTTAGATTCCTCGCGAGTGAGTGCCGTGCCTGTTCCTGCGGGAGTGACCCTCCACACCGTCGGCAGCGATCCGTTCCACCCCAAACACCGCTAGAGAAGAATACGATCAAGTGTAATTGTTAGAACGAGAAAAAGAGGAACCCCGCAATGTAAGTCGAGGCTGTGAATTATTTTTTTTTCTTTGCCCACACGTCTACCGGCTAAATGGCGCGCAGTCGAGGCGTGCCGCCTAACTTTAACCGGCGACTTTACCCAAGGCCCTGAGAGCCGCCCTGAAGGCGTTCCTGGAGGGAGAAGCAAGGGTTTCCTACCAACCCGCTGCCATTGCAGCACCCTGGAACCGATCTCCCGGGAACCTTGGGACGGCACTACGAAGGGTCCATGTGTAGTAAGGTGTGCGGTGTATTGTACGGTAGCTCTGTCTGCCGTGAAGGCGTTTTCCGGCTGCGGCATGTAATGTTGGATGTATGTATCGCGAACCCGCTTGGCTGGCGAAGCGTGCCTACATACTAGGCACATACTAGGCACATACATGCAGACAGACCTGTCGACATGTCAGTTGGGCTGAAGAGACGCTACCGCTACGCTACACCCCCTGACGAACGCCACAACTGGAGAAGACAGGCCAGTTGAGAAGTGCCATCAATATAAAATTTATTACCATCTCCATAAAATAGACTACACAGCTACAGCCTACAGGCGACGTGTACGCGCGTAGGGACTCCGTTATTTTCTGGGGTGCATGAGAGACGGCCCCCAGGATCTCCAGGGCTGTTCTTCCCCCGTAGTAATACCCCAAAGTCCACTTATGCTACGACATGTCTCTTGTCCTCTTGACATCTTCAAATTTTTCTATACCTAGGTAATATTCTTTTATTATTTTCATTTTCATTTTATTATTTTTCATCTTAGTTTCATTATTATTTTTATGTAATTGTTTCCTTGGAATAACCACTCGTACGAGACCGAAACAGACCGCCGTCAGAAGAAGGGCCGCGTGGTCCTAAATGCTGGGCGTCGAAGTCCTAACGCGGAACGCTCCTATTCTGGTATCTTCACCTAACTTCACCGAGTCTTGGCTATAGTTGAACAAGACATACTCTAAATTTTATTATTGGGTAATCTGTTCAGCGATGTGATACTAAGTTATAGGGGTTCCGTCAGCCCGTGTAGCCGGATACCTGGCCCGGGACCAGTAGCCGTATCGTATAGCTATTCAGCTAATAATATTTTGCTTGGCGGAGGATGATGCGTACCCCAACATATGATGACCACCGCTGTCACCGGTGCTGACTTAAAGCTTAAGTGATGCCTTTAGTTGAGACCTTGACTAACGGGCGATCGTAAGAGGGACTCAGGTGGATTGCATACTTCGTGCCTTTTCGGTATAACAAGCTAAGGACCATGTAGCCTACCTCAGTTTCACCGCAGAGGACAAGAGGATCGGTCATTTCGGGGTGGCTTACTATAAATGGTATATTTGCACGAGGTTCTACATCGCGTGACCTTGAGGTCTCAGCTATATCGTGGCAGTGACACACATTTGCGGCAAACCAATGTGGCGTCCACTCCTGACATGGGAAGGGTGGTATAGAATGGTAAGGCTGGGTTGTAATGAATGAGACTACTGGTGAAAGAGTCACGATAAGTAACACATAATCGAAATGACGCTATAGCTGTAATCCCCGGAATATGGAATATGGAATAGAAAGATAAGTAGGTACCTTTGTGGGTAGGTAAGTAGGTAGGTACCTAGTCATAGCTGACCTGGACCTAACCTCGTGGCGTTGGAGGGATAGCTGC